AGCCCTTGCCCCAGAAGAAGACTGAGGCAAAGAAGTCTTTGAGCACCTCAGCTTTCTCTGTATCCTTTGTGACCAAGTCTCCAGTTTCCTTCTGGGGAGGGCTTACATCCTCCCCAACCTTCTTTTTATCACTGATAAATCTGTAGAATTCCTTGTTCCCCCCTTTATGTCCTTGTCTAGATTTAATTCTGTCAGGATTTTAGCTTTCCTGATCTGATTCCTGGTTGCTTGGACAACTTCTCTGTAGTCCTTCCAGGTAACCTGATCCTGCTTCCACTCCCTGTAGACTTTCTTTCTGAGCTTAAGTGAGTCCAGGAGCATCTTGGTGATCCATGGAGGCCTAGTGGCATTCTTGCCTGCCTTTTTGGGATGATTTTAGAGGTCTTTTCCAGTCTAAGCCATTCTATGGCTCCACATAAACATGAACTAAATATCAACAAAGTCTTTTTGAATGGATTAAGGTTCTTCTTCAAAAACACCTGTCAGTTCACAATTTCTGAAATCAAATGGTCTTAGTGGATTTTTACAGTTACCATAGAAGATTTGAGACTTTTCATTACAAAGCATATACAGATTTAGTCTTGATAAACATTGTGGATAAAGAAGATTCTTAAAGTAGTAAGTAATGGTGACATGGTGATCACAAACAGTAATCCAGATCAACAAGCTAAGGTTGTTAAAACAAAATATTTTAATAGACCAAACACTAAGTGACATCTCTATGACATCTGATGTCACAGCTGGATGGGCCATGGGCCAGCTGATCTAGTGTTGGTAATCAGTCCATGGCAGGGGATTGGAACTCTGACATCTCTGATGTCACAGATGCAGAGAACAGAGCTGTGTTTCAGAAGGCAGTGGCTACAAAAAGGATCAGGGATTGTAGCAGGCATGTAAGGCAATCTGCAGGCAGCAGAGCTAACCTGATCCTGCAGCACAGACGTGGAGATGTGCTTGGATCAGCAGAGAAGGGAAAAAAGAACAAGTGCTGGGAATGAGACACAGCTTAAGTGAAAAATCTGAAATAAGACACAAAATATTAAGCAGGAATGATGAGCACTCCCTCAAACAATTACTCAAGAACTGGCACCTTTGTAACCTCTCAAAACCAAGAAGGTGTGCCTTTCTGTTAGATAACCTTTCCCGAACACAGATTACTGGGCTTAGAAGGGAAGGAATGTGGTGACATTTAATGATCAATGAGTACCAGGTGGTCAAAGAGGCTGGTTTAATATTTTCTGATCTTAACTTCTATGAAGTCATCTTTGATGTATGTTTGCAATAAATACCAGCAACCAAAGCATATCTCTGCTTCCTTTGCCTTGTGTTGATGGGAATTTTATTTAATCTATTTAAGAAATTGATTTGGATCAGCAAGTCCCACTTCTAGGAGAAAAGATCTGTATTGTCTTGGAGCTTTTTTGCAGTCAATACACGAGGGTTTTCCTGGAAGCTTCCCTATACAGAAGGAAACCAGTGATTTGTTTGCAATCGTCACTGGAATTCAGCAGCCTGATGAGGAAGCTGGAGGATGAAGGAGCACAACAATGCTGTATCAGATCTGCTGCTACCCCTACCCAAAGCGTGGCAGTTTCAGCAGCAAAGCACTCTGTAATATTTTACAGAAGTGTAAAATAACACCCTGATAAGCAGGTTTTTTGGCACCGCACTGCACACCAACCTCCTCCTCTTGGCAGGAGAGAGGAGCTTCTCTTCCCTCTCTGATCCTCAGAGCTTTTTGGCAACTGCAAGATAAAGATTCTTACCAAAAGCAGACTCATTAACTTATGCGAAGAGGTTTTAGCCACCTCCTGTTCATACTGCAAAAGCAATAGGAATCTGGGTCAAGAAAAAGACAGGTTTGTAGGCATTTTCAGGGCAGTGTTGTACCCCCAGAGGCTAACATGACTGCAAGGTGAAGACCTCACCCTTGGTGCTGGGTGGTGGAGAGGTCCTGGTCAGCTTGGCTTCTGTTCATTTTTCAAGCTTTACAGTAGCAGTAGATAAGGGGATCTGACCTCTGGGAGATCACTGCTCACTCCAGGGCTTTAAGTTGAAGCAATGGCAGATACCCAACTCATTGATGCCTGGGGAAACGTTCATGGGAAAAAGAAGGGAACAGTAAACCAAGCACTATTCAGGAATCTTCCTGCCCAGTTACATCAAGGACAACTAGCTCAGCACTTGGTTTTCAATTGGTTGTGTATCTGTTGACGATTGTTTTCCAAATGGTGCAATGCTCATAAGTGCATTACTTCAACAGTATCACTTCACTAATCAAAACTCATCTTAAAGAAGATACAAACTGAGTCTGACTACATGACGTTGCCAAAAGCCCATCTATGTTGATTGGCACGAGTTAGGTTTCTATTTACTGATCAACAAATTCATTTCTCTACTGCTCCATTAGTTTATTTGCCATCAAAGTCATGTTGGTAAACTCAACGTGTCAGATACTGCCCTGTGCAATTCCAATCTCTCTCCCTCCATGGAAAAAGAAAGAACAGGTATTTTCCTCCTTCACTCTGGGAAGTTTCTGATTGCTCCAAGATACCAACAACCAGCAGCAAGTTTCCAAATTAAGGAATTCTGCACCTGTTTCAGCTGGGACTGAAAACATAGAAAGTGAAATTCCAGATCCTTTTGGATTACCTCTGAAAGTGACCAACAGCACGCTGCACAACTGCTCACAGCCTGGAAAACTGCTCTGGAAACCCCCATCAGCACTGACCAATTTTTTTAAGGCAGCAACAGGACAATTTCATTCTGTTCTCTATTATCTATACTAACAATGTATGCCCATTTCTCTGTCCCCTCAGCAACCCTTTTTTTTTTTTTTTTTTTAAGTCCCTCTCCCATACTGCGTAACTCACAGTTTGCATTCTTTCTACCAATCTTTTCCTGTTCCCTGGAGCAGTGCAGCTTTCTTCTTGCCACCCTTCCAAAGCTTTCCTGCAGGGTGACACTTGGCCAAGTGTTCTTAGACAGCTCCTAGTTATTAATATCTTTATGTTCGCATTATTTACTGAGCTGACATTGATTCCAGCTTTGTGAGACAGACTGCTAAGTGCTGTAAGATGCTGATGTGCACCTCATTTACATGCAAGAACTGTAATCAGGTCATGATCACTTGCACCTAAATAATGACTCATTGTAGCCCTGAGCAATTTCTCTTTGTAAGCTGAAATGCTAGCAAAGAATTCACCCTGGATATGTCCCTTTTCATGCTTAAAAACTCTTTCCTCTATTTTTATTTTCTATTCCTTTTAAGAAATTCCCACGGTATCACTCATACAGAAAACCCAAAAACCAGAACCACCACTGTAATCACTTTCATGCACTGCACTTATAGAATTGCATATTCTTGTATTTCCTTTAGAGAAGCATTACATGTTGTACACTCCGAATTGTGAATGCTGGTGAGCTCCAGCTAGGCAGCAGCACAGACAATCTTAAGAGAAAAATGTGAACAGATTCAGGATGATTCACCATTTGAGAAAATTTATAACCACAAAATCCTTTTCTATGAGTCTGAGCAGGACCTCACAACAGAAAATGCACATTTAAAGCTTAAAGACAAACTGCACAGCATCCAAACCACAACACAGACGTAGGCTGTCTAATTCTGGGGACAACGAGCAGCCTTGTCCTTGTACATCCAATATACCTCTCCTTAAGGAGAGCTCTGCACTGAACAGTAGCATGACAGACTTTTTCTTTTTTTTTTTTTTTTAATTTATGAGTTGAATTACACAGTGAACATTAGAACAATGATGTTCCATTGCATCACATCCAACTCCGCTCACTTAGGATTGAAGAAAGTATAAACGTTGGGAAATATTCCGTGATAAAAAGAGAAAACAATCACATGGCTAATTACTAATTGGTAAAGCTCAAAACCATGTTTTTAAGGAGTTCAGCATGAACTACTTTTTCAGATCAAGTTATGGATCTTCCATGCTTGATACAAAAGAAAATCACACCACGCTAAGCCTCGCTGCTCCTCCTTCCTGATACCTCGACGAGCCACCCTCCAGCTTTCTCTTAATGAAAGGAGTGTATAAACAGCCCATAAAAATCATCCAGCACCAGGCAAGGTCAAAGCAGCACATGCTCATATTGAACTTTCAGCAATTCTAAGACATTCAGATTGGAGTCATTTGGTTTTCCATTCAGATATTGTGACAACAGACACCAGTTCAAGAAGAACCTAATAATGACAACACCCAAATGAAAACACATGAGCATCAACTCCACTTACTCTCAGAACTGCAAATTGCTGAATACTCCCGAACACAGGAGTCCTCCATTTTATATAATTTGTATCTCTTTGCTCCTTCTTCCTCCCTCTTCCCTGTACCATGTGCTTAAATTTATCCACGTGAGAAGACTGAGACTTTTCCCAAAGTCCTACAGATATTAAAATCATAGAATCATAGAATGGGCTGGGTTGAAAAGCACCACAATGACCATCATGTTCCAACCCCCTGCTATGTGCAGGATCACCAACCAGCAGACCAGGCTGCCCAGAGCCACATCCAGCCTGGCCTTGAATGCCTGCAGGGATGGGGCATCCACAGCCTCCTTGGGCAACCTGTTCCAGTGCCTCACCACCCTCTGGCTGAAAAACTTCCTCCTAAGATCTAACCTACACCTCCCCTGTCTCAGTTTAAAACCATTCCCCCTTGTCCTATCACTACCCACCCTTCTAAACAGCTGTTAAAATAGAACTATGTAGGTGCTCAGTTTATTAAAAATAGAATGTGCCAGAATGTGCTCCCTTTACTCTGCCTCTCCCAAATCAGGAAGGCAGACTGATTTCAGGTGGGTTCAAACTAACACCAGTTCAATGATATCCTACCAACATCATTCTGTCAGTTTGACTTTATAATTTCAACCCAAGGCCTCTTTCCAAAGTCCCATACAACCACACAGCCTTAGATTCATATCGTGATTATTGCTAATTAAGTGGAAGCTCGATTACAACAACAGATACTCACACTATATGTGCAAGATCAAGTGGCTTCTCTGGCTGCTCAGGAAACACGGGACGAGGTGGTTCTCTGCTTGGTACACAGCCAAGTGATTTACTGATTGCATGGCTCAGCTTCTTCGCAGGCGATTTCTGGTTTGGAAAAGAGTGACCAAAATGAGACCACTGTTAGAAAGAGCAGGGTAATGTGTGCAATCAGATAACAGGAACATCAAAAAAAGAGTTTTCAGAAATATTCATTTCTGCTACATCACACGAAGGAATTGCAGAATCATACAATCGTTGAGTTGGAAGGAACTCTAAAGGTCATCTATTAGTACAGAAACTGCACAGATGAGCAAGTTGGGTTTTGTTGGCTTTTTTTTTTTTTTTGGGCTGGTGGTTTGTTAGTTGCTTTTTTTTTTTTTCTTTTTTTAGTGTTATAATACTGAAAAATGAAAGTAGTTTAACAAAAATATGTAACTTCAAGAAATATACTGCTTGGTGTTTGTGTCAGAACTGAGAACCAGTGCAGGGATTTCCCACCCGCTCTGACACCTTCTGGACACAGGTGTTGTATTGTGGGGAAAGGCAAGGGAGGAAATAAAGAACTGATGCAGGAGGAGGTCCATCACCTATCTTAACTCCACTCCACTGAGCTCAAGTTTGCGATTTGGAGGCCAAAAAATTATTTTTTCAGAAGTAACCCACAAGTGCTGTGTTTCTGATCAAAGTCCCCACACAGATGCTGCAACCTTGTGGCTGATTGCTAGTCCCTCTCAGTTCCTATTTCTGTAAGATGCTCCAGTGGGAAATTTGGTTCAATTCTGAATGCACTTTTAATCTTAGAATCAATAAAGCTGGAAAAGACATGTAAGATCAAGAACAACTGTTAACCCAGCCCACCATCTCCACTGCCCATGTCCCTCAGTGCCACATCCCCACAGCTCTGGAACAGCTCCAGGTTTGGTGACCCCACCACCTCCCTGGGCAGCTGTGCCACTGCATCACTGCTCTTTCAGAGCAGAAAGTGTTCCTAATATCCAACCTGAAATTACAATTCAACTTAACATTGATTTAAAGAGAAGGCAAGGCCACCCAGAACAGGGGTACACACTTACTAGTTAATATGAATGAGTACCTGGCAATTAATGACAATTACTAACAATGGATTACACAGTTAATAATTACCAACCAGTGAGCTTCTTCATCTCCGGGCCTCTTGGGTTTAGCAAAATACAACAGGCAATGAAGACTGTTAAAGTAGGGAATCTGTGCATGAGAATGTAGCTCCCTCTGAGTTTACGTGGTTTGTAGCAGATCACAACGCATTTTAAGTAAAGCACTCAACTAAATTGGAAAATAATGGAAGATAAAAATTCCTTTCAAATTAGAAAAGAAATATGAGTTGGATGCCTCTAAGAATACATTAGGACTTCTCGTTCTTAACTGAACTTTTATTACCTTCTCCCATTCTCTTACAATTCAAGTCACAGCTAAGCGAGAACTGTGAAAGGTATGACTGGAGGCTGCCTCTTGGAACTCGTGATGAATGTTGGTTTGGAAACAAAACCACAGGAACACAGAATCACTAAGGTTGGAAAAGACCTCCAAGATCAACAAGCCCAACCATCACCTCCACACCCACTGAAATTTCTTATGGTAATTTCTTCCTGTTAGTACAGGTGGGTGAGGATTCCCCTGGTGGACGAAGTGGCTTCAGACAGAGCTGAAAAGGGCCACTTACCTCTTCAATGCATAGCTTTGGGCTTTGCAGGCAGATCTCAGCCCCATCCAAGCACTAATGCAAAACTCCTTGGCTGGACGTAAACATTCTTATGGTTGAAGTGCACAGCACTCTCACCACAGAGGGTTCTACAGAGGAGCATCTGCCTTTAATTATTTTGAAAACTAATGAAAAATCACAATTCACGCTTTATGTTATTTCCTACCAAACCCACAGTAAAATTCAAATGATCATCTTTCATTCTGCTATCACGTGCAATGATTGTAAAAAATTCTGGGTTTCCTTAATTCACCCTACATATTGAAAAGTCCCTCATACATTTATCTCTAAATGTTCTCTGCTTCTAGTCTCGGTGTATTTCTTTCCTTACCCTTTATCGTGTTCATCTTCTGGTTTCTGCACAGACCATCTATCTCACAGTGCCTTTTCTGTGACCTCTCTGCAGCACTTTAGCCTATTTTAAAAGTGTTTTTCCACTGTGGTAACAAACACTACATCCTGTCGTGCTACACCACCATTTATATTGTCGAGCAAACGCGGTGCTGCCTAGAATGCAGAAATAGAGCAGCTTCACTTTGTGAAAATGATAGAGGAGAGATAATTTCCATCGATTCCAACTTTTGGATAATGATTCTCAGTGTGGCTGAGAGTGAAAAAGGCAGAGCGTGCTGAAGAAGTGCTTCATTGGCAAGTGTACCTGGTAGGGATAGCTGGTTTCTCTGAGAAATAGCATTTTCTTTTTTTCCCAATGAGCTGAGTTCTACTTTTCTGTCTGTTTGACATCTTCATTAAGCATCTTTGAATCACAGAACCATTAAGGTTGAAAAAGACCTCTAAGATCCCCAAGTCCAACCCCAGCCCACCCCACCATGCCCACTGCCCACGTCCCTCAGTGCCACATCCCCACGGTTCTGGAACACCCCCAGGGTTGGTGACCCCACCACCTCCCTGAGCAGCTGTGCCAATGGATCACCATGTCTCTTTCAGGGAACAAGTTCTTCCTAATACCCAGCCTTGCACTCCCTACCTCCTAGAAAAGCAAACAGAAGCCCTGCAGTCCCACGATCCTGTCCTCCACCACTCACACCACCACAAACTCCTCAAGTAACACTGTCCACTTGCCCATCTCTAGCACCACCAAAGTTTTACCATCGTCTTCCTCAGCTGTTCCTTCCTGACTTCAATCTATATTTGTAAATAGCTGGGAGCAAACTATGTTTCATGAACTATTTGCAAGTTTCCATCACACTGGGATCTCACTCAGCTGGGTACTTGGACATGCCACCGTGGTATCCCCCAGTAGCCTCCAGGTTTCACACATCCTACAGTCCAATTCATGCTCTTCAGGATTAGATGGAAACACAGTCCGTGTGCCTTTAGTTTCAAATACTTTCAGCCATCGCCCATTTCCTTGGGGCCCAAGGCAATTCCTCTTCACTCAATGCGGCCCCAAGCAAGCCAAAAGGTTGGATATCTGTGGTTTAAGGAACCAGGGAGGCTTTTCAACAGTTACATTTCAGTGTCTGGTTGCTGAACATCCCAGCGGTCCCCTTCTTTTCAGAGTGATTACTTAAGATGTACAGTTCTGGGTTTCCTGCCCTCTGAACACCTCTGGAGTTCCCCATCTGAGGTGGACAACTGAACTAAGGATAAACCATCTATCAGCTCCAGAATTGTTTCTCTAACACCACTTACAACATTACTTTTTAGATTATTTGAACTTTTTTTTTTCAGTTCAAGGACTGAGCAGAGCAGGTAAATATTATCAAACCCTTCTTTCTGCAGGCACAGCACTGGCTGGCCTCAGGCTTTGTGCAGCCCCGGCAGCAGGAAGCAGCAAAATCATATTCCTCAGTGTCACAAGTCTGAAGGTGGAGATTCTGAAGCGAGGTTTTGTCTTCTCCCCTGTTGGCCTCACAAGCCCTGCACTGTGGTGTGCCCTCAGTTACTACTGTGTCCCCTCAGCCCCTGAGGACAGAATGGAACAAGCTCCAGATGTTGTATTACTTTAAGGCAGTCTAAGTGGAAAATTAAACGAACTAGAAATATAGGAGAAGCAATTTGGCAAACAAAATCTTATTAACAACTACTTACAGTATTGCTAAACCATAACCTTGTAGATAACAGGGTCTGCCTGTTATTCTCCATTTGATTAGTGCTTACTGTAATGGCTTCCCAATGGAAGTCAAGATTTTATCCCTATTGACACAGAACATTTGCTGGGTTTATTGATAAGTCTTCCAAAGTCACTCATTGAAGGGTGTTTACAGCTAACAAGGCACTATTGTCTATAGAAGATCATGGAGCAGATCCTCCTGAAAGAGATGTTAAGCACACGTGGGATGAAGAGGTGATCAGAGACAGGCAGCACAGTTTCACCAAGGGCAGATTGTCCCTGACCCACCTGGTGGCTTTCTGTGATGGAGTGATGGCACTGGTGGACAAAGGAAGGACAACTGTTGTTGCCTGCCTGGACTTGTGTGAAGCCTTGGACATGGTCCCCCACCACATCCTATCTCTACATTGGAGAGACGTGTGTTCAAAGGCTGGACTATTCAGTGGATAAAGAATTGGTTGGAAGGTAACAGCCAGAGGGTTGTAGTTAACAGCTCTATGTCCAGATGGAGACAGTGATGAGTTGAGTCCCCCAGGGGTTGCTCATCTTGGGTCTGGTGCACTTCAACGGCTTTCTCAGTGTCAAGGACAGTAGGATCAATTGTACTTTAGGTGAGTTTGTTGATGGCACCAAGCTGAGTGGTGCAGTTGACGCAAGAGAAAGGGGAGATGCTATTCAGAGGGACCTGGACAGGCTCAAAAAGGGGGCACATGTGAACCTGATGAGGTCTAACAAGGCCAAGTGCAGGATGTTGCACTTGGGCCAGGTCAATCCTAGATTTGAGTACAGACTGGGAGAGCACACTTAGAGCAGCCCTGTGGAGAAGGACTTGGGGGTCCTGGTGGATGAAAAACTGGATACGAGCCAGCAGTGTGCATTTGCAGCCTGGAATGCCAACAGCAGCCCTGGCTGCATCCACAGAGGCGTGGGAATGGGGCAGGGAGGGGACTGTGCCCCTCTTCTCTGCCCTCATGAAACCCCACCTACACTACTGTGTGCAGGCTTGTGGCCACCAGCACAGATAGATAAATAGATGGGTAGATAGAAAATAAGGGAAGATATTGCTCCTCCTTTAAAAGACCCCCCTTCCATACTCATTTTACAGGGCGCTACTAAGTCTGTAGTGGTATTTTATGCATCACTGAACTTTTTAGTACACTCAGAATGCTTTGTTGCTTAAGAACCAAGCAGTCAAAAAAGAAAAAAAGCCATAGTAAAAGGTTCAGAAATATGTTTCTAGAGACAGAACAAGAAATGTTGTTTTAGATTACAGGAACGTAAATGCTTCTTATGATTGCCTCACTGTTTACTGAAATCCCCTGAATTTCCCCATTTTGTCCTTGATTTTTACCTTCTGCCTTTGCTTCACCTGTAAGTAATCTTTAGTCTCTTGATTGAAACTTGCTTTGATTTGGATTCCAACTATACAAAACTCCTCCTACCTTTTATTCCTTCAGCTCATGCCCCCCCACATCTTTATATTTGTCCTACCTAATCCTCCTACAAACACAGCATACGTATACAAGAACATCTTTTAAAAATGTTTCTTCCATTTCAGCTGCTGCTGCAATTTCTTACTAAGACAAGCTAACTCTTGTTTCTGAACAATAAAACAACATTTTCTGCTGCTAAAATTCCTTTTCTTCCACAGATTTCTGAGCAAATTGCCTTTAAGTATCAAAGACTTTTTTAGATGATAGTTTAACTGCTGCCTGGTACTAAGCCCCAGCTTTCTAAATTAAACAGTCATACCATAATGATTCTTCCTCGTGGAGATAATTGCTAATTATAATCCAATCATCATCTGATCTTCTCTTTGAAAAAGTAAAAAATTAAGACTTAAATTTTTTGCCAGAAAATCAGTTTTTATATCTATAATTGTCTATTATTGCTTTAGATGTGATTATCATATAGTCATTTTCTTTTAAAGAAACACTGTGTTTAAAGATGCCACTTGGATACAGGTCCTTCCTGAGATTGGTTTTTCTTTCTGAGGAGGAAAGGAATTGCAAACTCTAAGACTTGTTAAGCTAGAATAGAAGGAAAGTAATAGTAGTAATAATAATATATGTAAAAAGTAGAACTGTGGTGAAGAGGGGAAGAAAATAATGTGTCAGGGCTTTGACAAGGACTGTATTGTGTGCTTTAAACACTGGTGAACAGAATGACAACAGTTGATAAAGTAATAACGTTATTTATAATAAAAATAATGCGATTTACCTATTTACACACTTTGACTATTTGAAAACCTTTAACAGCCCTACTGTGCAGTTCTGTTCTAAAAACAACTTTAGCTTTCAGAATAAATCAGTACAGAAGAGGCTGTGTTTACAAGACAGAGAAAGGTAAGTTACCCAAGAGGAATGCTCCTTCATCTGGTGCTGGTTGCTGTGAGGCCCACTGGCATGGCCACGCCAAAAGCAGTTTTGGCAGAGCTGGTAGTTGTGGCACTGTTGGCACCGGTACCGGAACCCCATCATGCTCTCACACCGGCAATAGGAACACTCCACAGGATGGAAGACTTGGTGAAGATGCGGAGGGAAACAGAAAAAATGAAAAGTAATAAGCAAACCTTAAGAAAACTACAATCATTGCATTTCATGAAAGCTTCCAAAAAAAAAAACAAACAAACAAACCACAACCCAGGTTCTCAATCACTAAAAGAAATTATTACTCCGGCCACACTATGGCTTCTGAGCCCAGAAGAGATTACATTGGAAGAATAACTACATATCTGAGTTGATAACATATCAGCACCATCCAACCAATTTCTTCTTCAGCTTTTTCCCTCTCTGGATTTCCTCAGAACCAGAAAGCTCAATGTAAATTCAACAGAGAGAACTCGAGTGGACAGGGAAAGCAATAGCATCGTATTCATATAATCATAGAATCATTAAAGTTGGAAAAGACAAAGGTCATCAAGTCCAACCCCAACCCATTCCCATCATGTCCCTAGATAGAATGATAGAATCATGAATATTGAAAAAGACCTCTAAAAAAGGTTCACAAAGGTTGACTTCTGCCTAAGGGACCTGAGTCAGCCAAGAGCTTCTCACTCAAATTCAGAGCACTGTATTTCTGCTCTAAAGCACCTTGTTAGACGACACTTCCATAGACCAGGGGTTTGCCCAGTTGGACAGTGCAAAAATGCTACCCAAATTGAGGTTAGGTTAGCCAAAGTTATTGAAAACATCAGGGTAACAACTACAGGGAAGACCACTTGAGCATTAACCTGGACAGCAATATCATAAGCCAAGAATCAGGTGGACGATGCTCTTACTGCTACACAGAAACACCACGCAAAGAAAATGATGTGTAGAAGACAGTCAGCTTCAATGATTCAAATGCCCCTTGGAAATGGAAGCTCCTGTAGAGGAATTTCTGACCATATCTTTATTCAAAAGGTAGAGAAAGCAATGAAATGTAGAATGAAGTTCTACATTTATTTCAAATATAAGAAAAGAACTGGTTGGAAAAAAATAAAAAAAAAAGATGACAAGCAACCTTAGGTTAACACAGCAACAGTAATTTTCTAAATCTTAGGAAGTGGAGAACATGATCTCAGTGACTTCAGTAAATTCATATGAGAATTAGCAAGCATACTACAAGAAGACACAGCAGGAAAAGTGAGTTCAGAGAATTGTCAGTTCCTTGAAGAAACAATGCTAAAGAAACAAGTATAAATATCTCTGGGCAGAGGAAGGAGCAGACTGTTGTAAAAAAAAACAACTTGACTAAAATGATGAGCTCAATAACTTCAAATTCAAAAAGAAGCCTATAGAAGTAAAAACAGGAACAAATCACCAACAGCAGTCAAAAGAATAATGTAGTATCCCAAGACAAAGACAGAAATGAAAGAATGAGAGAAAATTAGCATGCAATTTAAAAGAGATATCACAAAATTTGTGATTATTTATGATCCTTAAGAAAAGATGAAATTATACATACGTAACCACAGCCTTCCCATGTTATTTTGACTTGTAAAGTAGTTGAACAAATACTAAAGCAATTTAAGCACCTGAAGAACGCGAGCCATGAACAACATTTCCCAACTCAACTTTGTGTCTTTCCATGCCAGGCTAATTGACCTTGAAAATAGAACAAGGGCATTAAATGTCACCAATTTCCCATTTTACTTCAGTAATTCTTCCAAAACTGGCACGCTGTGGTACTTGCCTAATAGAGGGAAATATCCAGTAGATGAAAGGACTGTAACTGTGATGTGAATTTCATTGGAAAAGACCAGAAAATTATCAAAACAGAGCAATCTAATGAGCAGGGCTCCAAAGGGCTTTATTCCAAGTCAGGTATTGCTCACTGTTTTCATAAAAATATTGAAAAAACTGACAAAATGCCCAACTTGGGGCATCACATTTCAACGAACAAGATTTAGGAGACAGCTTAGCTAAGAGGTGACTGTGAGAAGGCACCAAACATGCAAGAGATACTTACAAAAATACCAATGCATTCTGCACAGCCAGCAGCCAAAACCCAGGGACCTGAGGATTTAAACTGCAGTAAGAAAAATCCATGCTAGAATACTAGGAAAAACTTTCTCACCCTAAGAATATTTAACACTGATCTCAGCCCAGCTTCTCATCCACACCGATGCTGAAACCTTTGGACTGAACATTTTATGCAGCAGCAGGGCAGATCTCTTGAGAACTTTGAATGTATGTAAAGTTTGCCTTTGGAAAGGGAAATAGATGATGTCATGGACTCTGACAGCTTTTTGGTATCCATCTCCAAGAACCTTTCTGTCCATGGAGAGTTTCTGTCTCCTTCAGGGATCAAACATGGGGCCACTGCCTTAACATGAACCAAAGAATCAAAAACTTGAAGCTGATGACTTAAGGAAAGCAGTAACAGCATTCTGATGAAATAAACACCAGAAAAGTAACAGTGGTGACAGGGTTCTGATGAGGAGGAGGAGGAGGAGGAGGAGGAAAAAGACTGAAACAGTCTTTATCAGAGATCATGAGGTCTTCCTTACCTGGTTACTGCCAGGTGCTACAGCACAATCAGATGCAGATGCTTTTTTTCCAACTTTTGGGAATGTGTCAATGTGCCAATAAAATATGGTATTGAAGACTTTAGCTCTCTCCTGTTCAGACTGCCTTCCATGTTTCTATCCACACGAATCCATTCAAGACTGAGGTTGCCATGAGGAGGTCTGCTGATGATGTTTCTAACACCACTCTCACATCTGACTCCACATCATGCTTGAACCACAAGGACCTCATTCCATCTTATTCTTCCTCTCCATTCTGCCTCTGAAACATTCACTGGTGTCATTGTTTATGCTTTATTTTCCCTGCCTCGGTGATCTGAACAAGTTCTTGCTATTGATACTTCCTCTTAGGAAGGTATTCCTTTACTCAAAGTTTCCAGTCACAAATGGGAGTGGGAGTTTTAAGCTTCTTACTACTTTTCACTGCTTCCAAGACTTCAGTCATTCCTTTCCTGGTTGTCAGTGCTCCAAATTCAAGATTCCTCCTGGGTCCTTTTTGACAGACAACCCGCTCTTTCCTTTTTCCACTGGACCTGATGATCTCAGATGTCTTTTCCAACCTAAAGGATACTGTGATTCTTGCCAGCAGACCCTTTGAAACATCACAAAACTCACCTCTCCCACTCCCAGCTGTGTCCTCTTCTTCTAACTCTGCCAGCCTCCAAAATTCTTCTCCTCTAATTAACTCTCAGCAGCAGACTGAGAGTTTGGCCATCAGTGTACAAAACTGTCATCAGCAATCTTCCAGTCAGTATTCAAAACTCTCTTTTCATTCACATTTCTTCTATGATCTGGACATATTAAATTCTTCCAAGTGAAAATGCGATGCGACCATTTTCCTCTTCCTTTTCTTTCCTCCTCTGTCTCAAAGATGCTCATTTGTTCTCTTTTGTTCCCTTCTACAAAACTGTAATTTATTCAATGATCTTGTGCCATCTCATGATTTACCTGAGATGCTTCTATTTTTTTTTCCCTGCATTTCAGTGGTATGAAATGAAAATTTCTGACTCTCCAATATCAAAATATATGTAAGAGTGGTGATGCAGTGGCACAGCTGCCCAGGGAGGTGGTGGACACCAAACCTGGAGGTGTTCCAGAACTGTGGGGATGTGGCACTGAGGGTCATGGTTAGTGGACATGGTGGGATGAGTTTGGGTTGGGGTTGGTTATCTTTGGTCTTTTCCAATCACAATGGTTGGAATATATTGGATTAGGTTTTCAGGACACACAAATTTGTCCATATTTTCTTCTCTAACTCCTGCAGAAGAGGACATAAGTCCCTCTGCCTCATAATCAAGGAGCCATTCCTGTCAAAATCCCTCATTACTGTTTCCTACTCATATGGGAAATATTACTCCACCATCAATCTTTGAGTTGTAACCCCCAAATCCCTGCCTTGAGATCTCCATTTGCTGCCCTCCTTCTGTGCATCCACCTTTAATCTTACGCTTTCACTGCTAAGGCCAAAACCACTGCTCTGTCTGAACAATGCATTTCCCACTGGGACATATGATAAAGGCTTCCAAAATACAGTAGTAATATACACATTAGATGACTTAAAATGAAATAATGAGGAAAAGTTTTAGAGTAATTGTGGATCTGCATTTCAGATATATTATTTCAAATTACTGTAAATGTAAAGATACATGAGACAGGTAAGATATATGCAGACTAGAGACTGGTCTGGAACTGAGAAGCATAGCAAAGTTGTCTACGTAGAGATGACAGAGTATTTCCACGGGAAGGATATCAAGAACAAAACACAGACAGAAATAAGTAGGAGAAAAGAACTTTTATAAAAGTGCGTAGGAGTAATCGACAAAGATGTGGAAAAAAAAACTAGTAGCTAAAGGAAAATGAAAATATGAGAACTTTAAAATACAAGAAAAGAAATCAAAGAGGAGATAATGAAAGTAGAAAGCTAAAGCAGGATGCAGATGGAGTAATATTTTTGTATAAGAGTGTTGTAGGGAAGACCTGGAAAAACACATTGTTCAAAAACTCTGGCTAAGACAGAATTAGTGTTGGAAGAGAAATGCTTTGAAGAACTTGCCATGACTATAAATACAAACCTTTATTTAAACATCTGTCTTTATACTACTCTTTTTCATCTGGTACTAATAGCTACATCTGTAAGCTGACATACTGCTACATGACTGTGCTTTGTCCTGGTGGACCCAGGCCAGGAATTCTGATGTGCACATCCAGAACATCTAAATTCTAGTTCTCCAAGGCAAAAGACCTACCAATGATGATGTTAGCTATGAGATAAAAATGTAATCATCTGCTTAATTAACCACAAAAATCCTAGTGCTCCGAACTCATGCAAAATTAGCACAAAAATCATGACCAGTGTATAATGTATATGACAAGCTCCAGGTTCCAACTCTAGAGTTTTTTATTTTTCCATGGAAATTATTCTAATGAGTGGAAAGAGAAGATTTGAAGTCTTCCAGCCCAACATCCTCAGCCCAGCCCAATGGAGAGAGGTCTGTTCAAGTGGCAGTTCAACGCAGGAACCCAAACTTTTCTATTGATTAAACAAGGAACCTGACCTCCTGACTCAATTAAGTTGTGAATACACCCAAATTAGTTCTGCATTCTTCTGCTGGAACTCAGTTTTCCTGTAGAAAGTACTACTAAGTATTAAAAACGTAATTTCTGGCAACTATAATGATGAATTCCCATGATATATTAGATATATCAAATCAAAACAGAATCAAAGCATCAAAACAGAATGCAAATCACCTTCCAAGATAAGTTCTGACAAGTTACCAGGCATGCACAGACATATCTGAGTAGTATAGATGGAAGAGGAGAAAAGACTTGTGAAGAGGAGACAAGTCACTGGCAAAATCTAGGGGCAGGAGGGAGGGTATTGTTTGGTTGGGGTTCACTTGGTTGGTTTGTCTTCTTCCTCTCTTGAGTTTTATAAAAACTAGCTGGGAAAAACCTGTGAAATTAAAGTCTGAGTGTGAACTAAGAGAGAAATGATAAAAATTCTCACGCTTTGCCAAACCTTTAAATAAAGCCTTCCCTTGGGATCTGCTTTCCACCTGACCCTGCAGATCAGATGGGCTCCTCAGCAGCTTCAGATGGACTGCGTCAGACTGGCACATGCCATGCAGCAGGCTATGAAGGATGGCCTTTTGCAGAAATCTACATTCCACAGGAAAGCTTGGGGACCAGCAAGAGGAAAGACTGAAAAGTATTACAGAATTTTTATCCAGGAAAGAAATCATGGGTTTTAAACCTCCTGGAATATTACATCTTTTTGAAATGTGCTTCCGTATGTTCGTCATTGGTACGTGTTAAGTGACATCATGCCTCTCAGAGAAGGATCAGACCAAAATGAAAGCATGGAGTTGCCACTGGAACTCCTTTGCCAATGTTAGGATATTTCTGAGGGGTTTTGTGGGACATCTGTGAGCTTATGGAGCTTCCATTTTGTTAATGGAAATGAGAATTCCCAGGAGCCTGGGGAAGCACAGGCCACATCTGGCATATTTTCCCAGGAAATCACCTTCTTCCTTTCAAAATATGTGGAGGAAAAAAAAAAGAATAAAAATGGCATAAGCACTGCAGTTTTCTGGATTTTCTAGTTTTTTATTATTTTTATCTGTTTATTTCCAAAGGAAAGCTGAAAATGGATTCCACTGTCAATTTCTATCCTTTCTTGTTTGGAATAAGACGATTTACTACAGGCAAGGCTGCTTAGCAGTTGCTAAACATGAATTGGGTCACTTCAGGAAAATAACAAGTAGCGATTCTCAATCCCTTTCAGAAATTACTGCAGTGATTCCGAGCTTCTGGGAAAGCTAACGATTGATTTGGCACACAAGGCAGCCAAAACCAACCAAAGAATGACCTGACACTATGAAAAAATGCAATGGATTATGCTCTAACTGGGAACTCCTAAACACAAACTGCATTGTCCCTACCCACTCATACATTTGTTTTTCTGAATCATTGTACATTCCTACCCTAGAGAGCAAATGAGCTAGCAAAGTATTTCTAGCAATGATAATGAGTGCTTAAGACAGCACAAAGGCCAAATTCAAGAGTTGGATACTCTTTTCTGTATTCTCCTTTTTACAGAAGAAAGACAACACAGCCTGAAGATCCCGTCCATTTGCATTTCTCCAGGAACAAAACTAAAAGGATTAGAATGCCTACACAAAAACAACGCTGCACACTGGCAGTCAAACTGAACCGATGGCTTTCTCAAATAAGGTGCTGGTCCATTTGTACAGAGCAATACTACCAACCAAAGACGTTTATCTGATGTGTTAAGAAAGAAGACAAGATACAAAGGTAAGGAAAAAACCTATTTCTCCAGTAGAACAAACTTACTTCACAGCCTAATTGCCTTTTGCTTGAATGAGAGCTGAAAAGACAGACACAGAAATAGGAGCATTTTTTCTTCAGGTTGTCAGCTAAGGTGTTCAGATGCCTCTGCAGTAACTTTTTAATGATTGTCTCAGTAATTAATGAAAATGTTGACAAACTGTGAAGGAGACAAGCATCTGCTTGGAAGGAAAGATCAGGTAACAAAAGCACTGACAAGGCACAATCCAGAGAAAACTGGAAAGGAACAAAAGACTGCAGAACAAGACTACCACTGATCAGGTAATGTCAGGTGACATGACCAAGATGGCAGCAGGAAAGACACAAAATTAAGGATGGATTTTTAAGGACTGAGACCATTCTATCAGGGAAACATCATTTAATGTCTGGAACCAAAAGATGAGAAGGCTACTTCCTAAATGAACAACTTCAGGGAATGATTTAATGGAATTTCTTTTGTATACATATATAGAATCACAGAATCATGGAGCAGCTGAGACTGGATGGAACCTCAGGACATCTGCTCAAGTAGGGCCAGCTGGAAGCTTGCTGCTGCATCACTGCCAGTTTGGGTTTTGAGTATCTCCAAAGATGGAGACTCCACAGCCTGGACAACCTCCAACCTGATGGCAAGGAGCATTGATCACCTCTTCCAACCCAATGACAGAAGGCGCTGACCACCTCCTTGAACCTGATGGCAAAGGGCATTGTTCAGGACATCACTGTTTTGGCTATTTAGTAATTCTTCTAGATACTTTCAAGAAAAAAGCTCAGACTTGAGCTCAGACTACTGCATTATCTCCAGATCTTTCCACCATTTCCCTTGTAGTTGGACCAGATGGTCTGTGAAAGTCCCTTCCAACTGAACTATTCCATTATTTTTCAACATTTTACCCTTGCCTGAGCTCTGTGAAATTCTACCCTGACCTACAATTCATATTAACTTTTTACTGCTTGTTCCCTTACTGTATTTATTCCAGTCTGCGTGCTTTACTTGAAGTAAAAGCTTATAAAGATAAGAGGATAAAGAAAAAAGAGCAAACAGTAGCTGCTGCCATTTCAACCTGTTACATAAGGGTGCCAAAGAGACTGCCAGTACCAGAGTCTGCCTAACACTTCAACTAAATCAACCTTCTCAGCTCTTTCAGAAGTTTACCCTTTCAGATCTGTTTCCATGACATTACTCTCCCCCCCAAAAGTCTTTGATAAATAACTTTTTTTCTTTTCAATTGTACACACAATTGTCAGAAAACGTTTGTAAACATGCAGAGCAATTGGGAAATTAACCATCTCTTCTGTTGCAATAAATAAGAAAAAGCCCACTGAGCATTGCAGCTCTGCTCTTATTCAGTGCTGTACAAAGGCAGATTAAAAACACAACCAGATATGCTTTGCAAGAGGCTCAAGACAAGACAACAGAACAAACACCACAAAAGAGCGTATCAAAATCACAGCAATACTGAACCACTTCACAGACATCAGGAAGTGGAGAATGGAATCAATCCTGAACACTTTGCCAGAGACACACAGGCTGCTGGAGTTTTAAAGCTTTGCCTGGGCAAGGACAAGAAGGACTTCATCTATGTCCCAAAAGGAAGAAATCTACACCCCGAGATGCTTATAAACACACTAAGCTGAAGAAGAGGTAACACCTGGTAGGGCAGAGATGTTGAAGAATGAAAAGAGGATTTTACTGTGTGGTGAAGGAAACAAAAGATGACATTCAGTTTTCCCATCTCTTATTGCTCCTTAAACAGATTCTGTTAGCAGTAATAACAGGAATTTTAGAAGAGGTCTGAAAGTAAGAGGAACTCAGCATTCATAGTGTGTGAATGAAGTGACCAGATGGAGTTGCACTCGATGATCCTTATGGGTCATGACATTCTGTGATTCTATGACTCATGTGCTCAAACGCTGCTCAAGACAGACATTTAAACTGTACCAAAATCTTTGGAAGTTCACACTTGAAAGCATATGTTAAAATGAATGATGATTCTAGTGAAGATTTACTTTAAAAAGCTTCAGAATAAATGTGAGCATTGTGAGAATGCCATTTTTCTCCTTATTTTATCTTCTTTCACTATTAACAATGCTAGAACCTTAACTTAAATACTAACAACCAATTGACATTGTTGTTGGTTCCATCAGTTACCCATTTTCCTCCTAGAAGTGCTGAACACGTGTCACTCCAACAGAATCCTAAAGCCTAAGTGCTCTGGGACCTGGACAGTTATAGTGGGAACACATTCACTGAGAAAGGACAGCGTATCAATGTATTTGATCAACATATAACCCTGCTCACAGGGTTTTCAACAAAATATTCCATTTACCATTTTCAACATGGGCAAGTCTGTGCATGAGAGGCAGCCACACAAGGCACTGAGGAGGTGGATCAGCCATCAATGTGTCTAAAAACATGTTTAGCATGATCTTTTTCTGCAAAGGAAAAAGAAACACAGCTTAAGGCAATTGTCCATTTCATTTCAAAATTTCAGAATCAAAAATAACTTCAGCTTTAACATTTCTCTACTATTCAGCTTCCATCTACCAATAATATAGCAAATGCTATAATGATGAAACTGACATTTTGCTCAGGGAGCTTCAATCTACACTGAGCAAACAGCACCACCACAAAGAAGGTATCAGTACAGACACAGCATCATCACACAAAAATTAAAGATTCACAGATGATAAGAAAATTCCAAGAAATGGAGGACAGGTCAGTCTGGATTAACTGCTGAATTGTAGTTCAGAAGGGATACAACAAATGTGAGGAGATTATTTAACAGTGTAGGAAAAGGTACTTCAACCATACAGGCAGCACTGAAAAAAAGTAGACACTAAAAATAATAAAAAAAAAGGAATTACAACTAATATTCACACAGTATCCACACAGTAAATTACTTTAAAGAAATACAAAACAAGAGGCAAGGGGAGAACTACACTAAGGTGTAGAAAATGTAGTATCACTGATAATGAAATTGAAATGAAATCATTAGAAGGAAGTCATGTTTTAAGAGTAGTATTTTCTAAGTTTTCAAATTCAATTGAGCAAGAGAAAATTTCTGCTGCATATATAAACAGATGGAGACAATTGGTAACAAAACCAGTTAAGAGTGCTATGGATATAACATGAGAATATACTGGCTTTTGCATGCAGGCAGCTGGAGGATTAGGAATGTCTCCTAAGCAGATGACTTCTTCCTCACCTTACCCTGTGGCAGTGCTACCTCAAAGAGCATCCGAAGGGCAGGGCAAGCAGAGCTGGAGGAAAAGCCAGGCTGGGATCCTCACAGTTCTGCTCCACCAACCTGCCTCCTCCTCCCTGTGGAAGTGAAGAAACCCAGCACCTTTCAACAAATCCACATCTCAGTGCTACCAAGAGCTACACTACCAGTGCTGAAGAAGCCCTCTGCTAGGAGGAGACGTCCCATCCCTGAAGGTGCTCAAGGCCAGAATGGATGACCCTGGACAGATTTCATGGTTCATAACTTTGCCCATGGCAGGGTGTTGGAACTGGATGGGCTTTAAGGTCTCTTCCCACCCAAACCATTCTATGATTCTATTCTATGAACTCTTCACAGCATGCAGTGTCTGAAAACCCAATGCCCTGTTCACATAACAAGGAACCATAGAAACAAGGAGTCACAGAATCATCCAGGTTGGAAAAGACCCCTAAGATCAGCCGGTCCAGCCCCAGCCCACTGACCACATTCCTCAGTGCCACATCCCCACAGTTCTGGAACACCTCCAGGGATGGTGACTCCACCACTTTCCTGGGGAACAACAGTGCTAACAGTGTTGAATGCCATCATTGTCCAATGTGCAAACAGCACATTAGACATCTTGTATGAGTAGAGGAGGTGCTCAATGCCAGGTTAAATGGGGCTTTGGGCAACCTGATCTGATGGGTGGCAACCAGCCCACGGCAGGTGTTGAAACTGGATGGGCTTAAGGGTCCCTTCCAACCCAAGCCATTCTACAATTCAATGATTCCATGACTGTATAGCATGACACATATACTCCTCTAAGGCTCCCAGTTTTGCCTGACTCCCATCTCTCATCCTGTCTCATACATGGCACCACATGAAACATTTTCTGGCTGTAATTCTTTGCCAGAGCTGAAGAAGGGCATGCAGCACATGGGCCATGCCAAGATGGCCTAGAGGCACTTTGGTTTTGATACATTGCTTCTTATATGGAAAATAGTAGAATCTTCATAGAATGGTTGGGTTGGAAGGGTCTTTAAAGATCACAGAACCATAGAATGGTTGGGTTGGAAGGAACCTTAAAAATCACAGAGACATAGAATGATAGAATGGCTTGGATTGGAAAGGACCTGAAAGTCCCCCCAGCACCAACCACTGCCATGGGATGGCTGCCACCCACCAGATCAGGCTGCCCAGGGCCTCATCCAACCTGGCCTTGAGCAAATCCAGAGGTAAGGCACCCAGAACGCATGTCAACATTCTGGGTCACTGCAACCCAACTAAGCTGAAAGATAAGTCTGAGGGTTATCACAATGGCAGGAAAACAGAACAGAATAGTTTAACTTGGAAGGGACCTGCTGTGTCCTACTGTCATGTTACTTTGGGGCTGGCTCCAAATTCAAACATCAGTAAGAGTGTTATCCAGGTGCCTTTAATACGACCTGTAGGTCTCACATTGGTACCAGACAGCTGAAGGCCATATGAACTTGCAACAAAAGAACTCACTGTGGCTATAAGGGTCATGAGGAGGAGGGAAACCCAGACAGAGCTGAGTACCAATGCATGCCATAAGGTCAGAAGTATGTTACTTTTTGTTAAAGTCAGAAACCTTGTATCTCACAGGAGCTGTAGGTCCTTCCTCCTCCTGTGGGTTGCTCCAAGTCATAAATAAACGTTTTCTAGTGACAAAGATCTCTGTGTACAATATGCACAACTCACATTAGAATCAAAATGTAATGGGACAGTTTTTCAGCTGGAAATTTTTCCCTCAAGCAAATTAAACCTTCCAGCCCCTGCTGGAGCAATGTGACTTCTCTGCAGTTCGCTGGAAGGCAGCGAGGACCCAGGCTCTGGATTTTTGCACTGATACAGGTAGGAAATGCTGCAAGCACCGACCTAACAAAAGCACACAGCTTTGTTGCCACTGCAAGCATTCCTGGCAATGCAGCAAGCAGCAGCCTGCTGCTCCTGAAGCTAAAATGCAGGGAAGGAGACTCAAGAGTGGCTTTTTTAGGAGCTGGGCTCACAGCCTCACAATGAAGCAAACACAAAAACCTCACTCACCCAGCATTTGTGATGGAACATAATCAGATCACCTGTCAATGGGGACCCAACTCAAAGAACACAAACTGAAAATCACCCAATTTTCACAGCACAGCCAGCCAGGAGGGTCAAACACCTCCAGCATTTGCTACACTGGTGTTTTCTGCAACGGGTAACGTAATATCCCTATGAGCAACACAGGGATCACAGCCAGGTGAACAGAAGCTTTAAGGAAAGTATGACTAATATCTTATCTGTGGCAGCACCAATTTGACCTTGAATAATAAATTATGGCTGGAAGCTCTATATGAATCTGGAAACCACTGTAAAGAATGCAGCTCTTGCTGAAGTGTCCCAGTAAAATCTATTTCCTGTGGACAACAAGACTGAATTACTCCAACTGTGACTCTGTGGGGTTAAACTAACACAGGGCAATGCTCCTGGCCCTAAGCTCAATAATGCATGGATTTACATTATTGTAACTGTGCCCAGTGTAACCACCCAGTCTCCCAAATGATTTCAGCATCCAGATATACTGTTAACATCAGCTGGGAATCACTTTCAATAAATGGTTTCCATGTAACCACCCTGCTTGAGGAAGGTTGCAGGAGATAATGTGAAGATGTGTTCCAACAGCTCCATGTCTCTCCTGTACTGAGCACTCCACATCTGGATGCAGTGCTCCAGGTGAGGCCTCACAGCACAGAGCAGAGGGGCAGGATCACCTCCCTTGCCCTGCTGGCCACGCTGCTTTTGGTGCAGCCCAGGGTACAGTTGGCTTTTTGGGTTGTGAGGGCACAGTGCTGGCTCATGGCCAGCTGCCATCCACTGGTACTCAATTCTTTTGCTCCCCAGCTTGTATTGATAGTGGCAGTTACCTCAACTCGGGTGCAGACCCTGCACTTGGCTTTGTTGAACCTCATGAGGTCTTCCTGGGCAAACTGCTCAGCCTGTCTAGGTCTCTCTGTATAGCATCCTGTCCCTTGGGTATGTTAACTGCAGCCCACAGCTTGGTGTCATGCATAAACTGCTGAGGATGCACTCAATCCCATTGCTGATGTCATTGATGAGGATATCAAAGAGCACCAGCCCCAGTACTGACCTATGAGAGTGCCACTCATCACTGATCTCTATCTGGACACAGAGACATTAACCACGACTCTCTGTGAATGATCTCACAACCAGTTCCTCACCCATTGAACAGTCTACCCATCAAATTTATATCTTTCCCTTTTGGAGAGCAAGATGTTGTGGGGGACTGTGCCAGTTGCCCTCACTGAAGTCCAGATAGGCAACATCAGTGGCTCTTCCATTGTCTACTGATGCAGTTAGGCCATCATAAAAGGACACCAGGCTGGTCAGGTAGCAATCATGACAAACGTCAGGCAAGTCTCGCATCTCTCTTTGCAGATAGAGCAGGTACAGCTTAGAATCTGATGTTTGACTTGGTAGCTCTCAAATGAGTCCACGGTTTGCCCCTTAAAAACACTATCCCTACATGCAGGAGTGGCTTGCACAGCCTGAGAAAAAGGGTGTTATGATGTTCAGAATAAGGGATTACCCACAAATGCCTCAGCAATTACAGACAGAAACAAAAAAAAATCATTTTTTAATTACATCATCATCTGTAAGACAATTCTCTGTCCTCAGTAACTTACAGATGAGCAGGAGCTCTTGTCATTTCCTAACCCAAAGGCTATTCTCTTTTGTGTTCTATTTCAAATATATGAATTCCTAATCAACATAAATTCAAAAGTGACTACAAATTCTAAATCGAAACACTTTGAGAAATATTTAGAATATGGTCACAATCACAGCCTAAACATTTAAGTTTAGGTCTAGGTTATGCTTATATTAGAATTAAGGCTTAATTATGCTGTTGTACATCTCAAATTAAAAGCAATTTATCAGAACAATCAAATCATAACAGAAACATTGATATTGCAGAAGCTTCTGCGATATCTATTCCAAAAATTACATGAAATGCATTTATTTTGTGCAGACTAAACCAACTAACAATTGATTTGTTGAAAACAATACTCTTACTACTGGTAAGCCTAAAAAAAACTCCAAGGTAGAAATGCTGCACTTCCTGTTTCAGACAAGAGTAGGTTACCCTTGATGTTCTTCCCATGTGTTCAAAGGGACTCCTTGGAGAAGGAGAACAAGCTAAAAGTGTGCAAAATCCTTTAATTCCTTAAGACCTAGGTGGGCTATTTTAAATTATTCAGGCTTAAAATCTGCTTAGGTAACACACTGTATGTCACCAAATCCCCCTTCCTGCAAACCCCATGCAAGCTATACCCAAAGAAGCCAGGACTACAGGAGTGCAGTAACAAGAAATGAAACTCTGTTCTGAATTAACTCTTACTTGTTGTGGGAAGCATGTCCGTACAGAATGCTCTGTGTATCCAAAAGAAGGTCCCTCAAACACAGCAGTTGGAAGTTTTAGAACTTCTTTCAAAAACTGATCAAACTTGGAAAATATCATTAGTCCGTTTGAATCTGATATTTGAGAGAAAATATCTGTAAGAAAATATAATAAAACATTTGGGTAAATACATGCTTGCTACAGAAAAGAAAAGCCTAATAATTTCAGTTCATTTAAACTCCAAAGCATTAACTCCTTTTGTTTAATTCTAAACATAATTTCTTCTTAGTTGATATCAAGATAAAATTTATGAATGACCAAGTTTCAACGTGCTGTGACACTTTGAACACCTCTATTCCCTCCATCCCATATCAAAAAACACTGAGAAGACAGACATTGAGGCACTGAGGGACATGGTTAGGGGGCAGGATGAGATGGATTGATGGTTGGATGTAGTGATCTTAGCTGTCTTAAGGATTCTATGATTTCTTAACCTCTCCAGCCCCTCTGCCCTACCCACCCCACAGCTGCTAACCCAGAGCTCCCAGCTCCTGTGTCTCAGCAAAAGGAAAAATATAGGAAAAGATGGATAGAGAAGGTTGGAAGAAAATGATGTCATGGGAGATGCTGGGACTGCTGTACACAGATAGAGCAGAACTGTCCAGAGGGCAAAAATCTCTCTGGAAAATACACATTCTTGAACAGTAGAGCTTGGTCTCTGCTATAACTGCAGTCAGGTTACACTATAAAGAAAGATTTTTCTAATATTAGTAAGACCTAAAATGTTTGAAGACAAGACAGATACCAGAATGCTTCACTAAGCAGCCTCTGAATCATCTATGAGGTTATCTAAGACATCATAAGTAATTAAACATCAAAAAGGATGAGCTGACAGAAAGTAAGCTTAGTTTAAGTGATCAAAGCCACGTCTGTAAAAAAGACTATTTCAGAAAGGTGTATTTCCAGTAAACTAGAGAAATGAATGAATGAGCTCACGAAGAAGCCTACAGTGCTTGAGCTGAGGGTTGGATACCAGGAAAAGTTTCTTCCCTGAAGAGTGGCCAAGTATAGGGATAAGCTGCCCTGGGAAGTGGAGGAGTCACCATCCCTGGGGATGTTCAAGGAATGTGGAGATGTGGCACTGAGGGAGGTGGTCAGCAGGCATGTTGGGATGGGATGGGATTGGCCTTGGGGATCTTGGAGGTCTTTTCCAACCTGAATGGTTCTGTGATACAACTGCCTGGGGTTTGTATCAGGCAAAATGTACAGGCTTGATGGGAAGGTCTGAATTCCTTGCTAAACAGTCTTAAAGGCATATAAGAAAAAGGACTGAGAAAAAAAAAAAAAAGGGAGAAGCCAGATGATTAAAGAATGCTATATTTTAAAGAATTAATCCAAGCAGAAAAATCAAATTTCACTGGAAAATTTAACATGGAAGAGAAGTCATGGAAATAACTGGAACTAATTAGAGAGCAAAACCTTCACAATCCTAAAATGCTGAAGATCAGATTTGCCCCAGAACTGGCACATGAACTTGGTCCAATAATCAGTCTATTAAGGTGGGACTGGTAGAACATGACTACAACATGACAGTACTTGTATTTAAAAAAAGTACAAGAATCATTTGGGTAAATACAATCTATTAATCTAATTTCAACAGCATGCAGGATTTAAACGATTTTAAGGAGAAGGTAATTAAAGCTATGAAAGAAATGAAAAATGAGATAAAAATGAACAAGCTATATCAAGAATAAATTAAAAGAAACCCAAGTGGTTTTATAGTCAAAATGAAGTTGAAGTCATCTATGTGGGGAAACTTTCACATGGGAAATTAGCGGTTGAAATTGGAAAAGATAAAGATTCATAGGATTTAATTAAATAGTCATATTCCCTTTCAAAGGGCACTAAGTTACCTGAAAAGAGAAAACCTCAAGCTAAACAGGAGCTAACAGGGTAATTTCTCAAGATCCCACCGTAAGGTCACATCATGCATGTGCTAATTAAGTTTCCTGATGACAAGGTATTATACTTTAATTCTCATCCAAAGATTCAGTGCAGTGCAATCACACTATAAACATGTTTCTGTGCTTTTTTTTTTTTACTAAAGAAAATAAAAAATGAACACCAAAACACTGCTCAATTCCAAAGATACCAATGTAAAAGGGAGTAGAACCTGATGAGCGTTGTGAACAAAGCTCCTATCATATCACAGAATCATAGAATGGCCTGGGTTGAAAAGGACCACAATGATCATCCATTCCAACCCCCTGCTATGTGCAGGTCGCCAACCAGCAGACCAGGCTGCCCAGAGCCACATCCAGCCTGGCCTTGAATGCCTGCAGGGATGGGGCATCCACAGCCTCCTTGGGCAACCTGTTCCAGTGCCTCACCACCCACTGGGTGAAAAACTTCCTCCTAATATCCAACCTAAACCTCCCCTGTCTCAGTTTAAAACCATTCCCCCTTGTCCTATCACTATCCACCCTTGTAAACAGCCGTTCCCCCTCCTGTTTGTACACTCCCTTCAAGTACTGGAAGGCCACAATGAGGTCTCCCCGGATCCTTCTCCAGGCTAAACAAGCCCAGTTCCCTCAACCTTTCCTCACAGGAGAGCTGCTCCAGCCCTCTGATCATCAAATAAACCTGTCCAGTGTTTCCCTTGAGAGCCTTCTTTCAACTGCTTATAACTTTGCCAGGATCGACCATCCTGCATTTTCTATTGTGCATTTGCCTGATGCTTTACAGTTGCAGCTGAAAACCCAACCACTCCTCTGCACGAGTTAAAAACAAAGGAAAAAACCAAACAAACCAAAATCCCTGGTACCCTCACTTTTTAAGGAGTTGATTCGGAGACTTTCCTGTGCCTCAATTCCCTCAAAGTTGACAAATTTATACAAATTTGAATAATATTTCTTAAAAACTAATGCATAATAGTTTAAAAGCCAAGAAAATCAATCTGTAACAGACACAAATTAATTCCTGCTTCTTAGGGGATTTTTCCTGGTCTTAATCTAAAATACAGAATCAAGTAAAAAGAGCAAATTTAGGAAATACAATCCAGTCAACCCCAGTTTGGCTCCTGGGAAAATAATGGAGAAAATTCTCTTGGAGCACTTTTCTGAGCACCCAAATTTGACTGGAGCAGTTGGTAGGGATCTGCTAAGGAGAAATCCCATCTGACCAGCACAGCTTGCTCTTCTAGCATTCAAAGTGGGATGTCACAGTCTGGAGGGGTGAAAAAGCAATTGGTAAGGAGCAAGTTGGATGATTGGTCTTAGAGGACAGTAGATAATGGGTCATACTGCATGGGGGCTAAGAACAAGGGGACAGGTGCTGGGCTCTGTCCTGGGAAACATCCTGCTTAACATCTCTGCTAGTGAGCAGCAGGGTGCATTCTCCTCAGGTCTGTAGGTACAAAGCTGGGGAGGTCCAGGTGCCCAACTGGCCATAAAGACCAAGGGCATCCTGGCTTGTGTCAGAAATATTGCAGTCAGCAGGACAAGGAGGTGATTGCCCTTCTGTACTCAGCTCTGGTGAGACCACTCCTCAAGTACTGTGTTCAGTTTTGGGCTCTTCACTATGAGAAAGACAGTGAGGTACTGGAGCATGTCCAGAGAAAGGCAATTGAAGCTGTGAAGGATCTGGAGCACAAGAGTTATGAGGAGTGGCTGAGGGAGCTGGGATGGGTCAGCCTGGAGCAGAGGAGGCTCAGGGGAGACCCCACTGCTCTCTACAGCTGCTTCCAGATAACAGTGATAGGATGAGAGGTGATGGCCTCAAGGTGCACCAGGCGAAGTTCAGTTTAGATATTAGAAAAGATTTATTCTCTGAAAGAAAGGTCAAACTTTGGCACAGGCTGCCCAGGCAGGTGGTGGAGTCACCATCTCCAGAAGCATTCAAGAATCATAGAGATGTGGCACTGAGGGACACGGTCAGTGAGTGTGGTGGAGGTGGGTTAGGGTTGGACTTGGTGATTTTAGAGGCCTTTTCCAACTTTAATGATTCCATGAAATTCTATGATAACCACAAAAGCAAGGGTTGCCATCCAGTGAGACCAAGCCAAGCTGGAGGAATGGGTCAAAAAGAACTGTATGAAACAGAAAAAGGACAAATGCAAATTCCAAAAGGAAAAGACTCTGGCAGTGATGCAGGCTGGGGACTGGCTGGCTGGCACAGATCTGCAGGAAATGTCCTTGGGAAATCTGGGGTCCCAAATTGAAGATAAGCCTACAGCATGGCACAGCAGCAAGGAAGGTCAACAACATCCTGAGCTGCATGAGCAGGAACTTACCCACTATTGAGGGAAGTGATTCTTTTCCTCACCTCAAAACTTGTTACACCTCATCCAGGCATTGTGTCCAGCTTTGAGACCATCAGAATCACAGAATATCTGAAAACCACAGAAGGTGAAGGACATACTGAAGTGTAGAGGGCTACGAGGATGCCCAGCAGGTTGGAGCACTTATCCTGTGAGGACAGGCTGAGAAAACAGCACTTGTTCAGTCTGAAAAAGACTGAAATATTGGGAAGACATAATAACAGTATCCCAAAACCTACAAGGAGGCTGTGAAGGACACAGAGGAAGATGCTTTTTGAGGAAGATGTAGTGATTTGCATTTGAGAACTTGGCATGGTAGAGGCCATAAGTCTGGCTGGTGCAGATAGTGCACCAGAGGATCTAAGAGAACATAGGGTAGACTACGGCCATTCACTGCAGGCATCCATATGGCACAGGTATATCCATGCATTTTTGCCACTAACAGGCCTTCATCATGGTCACCCAGAGAGGGGAACAAACCCAGGTCACAGTGCCATCCATGTGGGTGCTCTCTGGTCCTGTTGTTCCATGGGTCCATTTTGATCCTATTGGGATGCAGGCCCTTAAAATGAGCAAGGTTGGAATTTGTTTAAAGTCAGGTTCTGTTTGCAGTTTACTTGTAGAAAGGACATGGAAGGAAACACTAATTACTTCACTATGGATCTGCTTAAATGCCAAGATGATGAAGTCACTCAAATCCACAAACTTCATCATCTTTATATGGTATTTCTCTAGCTTAAAAAATGTGATGCTAAAAATTAAGCCCACAGCAACAAGCTGAGCTTATAACTCCTTCCTTGCACATCATGTAAAGCAACTCTTTCACAAGGAGTGTCAGTCACTGGAAATAATCTTTCCCACTGAAAGCAAAGTGGTATCATTGAACAACTCCATTCATATGTACTGTCAGACACTGTATGGTCTGGAAAAAGAACAGCACAACTTGTTCACATTTTCAGAAAGTTGAAAGAAAGCCTGTAAGTATATGCAAGTACAGAGACCAAGTGACTATAACTCAAATTCTGAGATGAGAAAAAGAAATATTTACAGCTTCCTGGATTTCCAGAAAGCCTCATGGTCCAGCTGAGCTGGCAGCATGCTCACTTAGTGCCTTTAGTCCTTGTCTTGGAGGGGGAACGGAGCAGCTGTTTTCTATTCACCACAAACACGTTATTCATGATTTTACAGAACACTGTCCCTTCACCACCATTTTGCTTTCCATCCAGGTTGAAGATTCCTGTTCTACATCTAGTTGTTCCTTGTACAGAAAGTTTGTTCTGACTTTAGTGACTGCTGTTCTTTCCAGGAAAGATAAAGCAGATCTGAAAAGGGAGAGTGAGTGCAAGGTACCACAGCAGTGCTCATACTAAGCATAAACATACCATGGATTTATATAATGCCTTAGTCTTCCTGTTGTGTTCTTTATGTCCTTCCCTCTTGGTCACAACACTTCATTACTTTTTCTTAACTACTACTAAAAAGAGCATTAATCTTCCAGGAGAAACTCCAAGATCTGTCTTAGCACTAACAACTTCCCGAGCTCACCTTTCTGTGCATGACATTAGGATGACACCTCACTCCCCCAGCACAAACCACTTCACATAAATTCACACTGAATTTCAGCTACCATTTCATTCACAGTTACTCAGCACTGTCAGATGATGCTACAACTCTTCACAGTCTGTTTTGGCTTTTACTCACCAATCTACTTTATAAAAGATTGTCATCTTCCACTGTATTTTTCCAGATCATTTATGACATGTTAGAAACAGCTTAAATCCAGCATTATTCACCCACCTTTTTACTGCTCTTTTTTGGGCTCCTTTCAGCTAATATCTTACACATGGAAAGGATCTTCCTTTCATCCCTTTTAGACTTTAATGCTTTATCTGTTTGATAAGAGATACTTGAAGTCCTTTCAGAAACTCAAGAATTCTGCATCGGTCAGAAATCCTTTGCATTTTTCTATTTTTTTTGCCCTACTTTAAGGAACTCCTACAGTTTTGTAAGACACTCCTTCCAAAAGCCATTCCTCCTCCCTACCCAAGAAATTATTTACCCATTAATCAACTAATTCCATTCTTCATTACTACCAGTTTACCCAGAAGTGCATCAGGCCTACAGGTGAAAGGTACTTATAGCGAGAGCAGGGTTGGATTCTTCTCACTGGTGACAGATGACAGGACAAGGAAAAATAGCCTCAAGTTGTGCTGGGAAGGTTTAGGCTGGATATCAGGAAAAACTTCTTTGCAGAAGGGTTGTTAAGCATTGCAATAGGCTGCCCATGGAGGCGGGTGAGTCACCATCCCTGGATGTGTTTAAAGTCCTTTTGGATGTGGTGCTCAGGGACATGATTTAGCAGAGGGTTGTTAAACTTAGGGTAGTATGGTTAGGTTGTAATTAGACTTGATGATCTTTAAGGTCTTTTCCAACAAGAAAGAAGAGAGAGAGAGAGGGAGAGAGTTCTCCATATGGCCCTTTCTAAATTTCACAGTACATTTTCTTTTACCTCGTCCCTTGGTCCTTAGAAGTTTTTCACAAAGGTAACCAACAGTAATTCAGCTACTTTATGATTTGAATTCTAGCTCTACTCATCTTTTTCCAGTAACAATAATACTTCCTTTCTCCTTCCATAAGAACTTTACAAGATCCTACTATCCTGCATCACACCCTTCTGAGTTTCTCTCATCTTCCACAAAAAAAAGTTGAACCATCATCATGTCTGAAAAGCCAACAGCCTGATTTTAAAATCACAGCATCACTAAGGTAGGAAAAAATTACTAAGATCACCTAGTCCAACCACCAACCCATTAGTCCACCAATCAACCCATTAGAGGATAGTCTGGTTGAAAGAAAACTATTCCCTCCTGCACAGGTTTGCTTTGCTCCTCTTCCTGAATTTCTGGATAAAAGAAATTCATTTTTCACAGTTGGCTGATAGCATATTACAGAGATTTCAAATAGGTGTGGTCAACAGTTAGTACTGTCAACACCATAAAAAGCAGCCAATATCATTGTGGAAACAGCATTAGTGATATACCAAGAAGGATAAGGAAAGAAACTGAGTTTAAAACTGAATTTAAAAAGGCAGAAGTGCTGCTTCCCAGAACACATGTTAAATACAGAGGTCACATGCTCTTTGGAAAACAAAGCTCCATATCCAACCAATGGAATCATCCAACCATGTTTGCCCAAGCCACTGGAATAGGCTGACCACGGAAGTTGTGGATGCCCCATCCCTGGAGGTATTCAAAGCCAGGCTGGATGTGGCTCTGGGCAGCCTGGGCCGGTGGTTGGTGACCTGCACATAGCAGGGGGTTGGAACTGGATGAGCATTGTGGTCCTTTTCAACCCAGGCCATTCTATGATTCTATCCAGATAGCGCATAGAGAAAACAAGAAGTGCAGATACTGGAGGATAGATCCCAGCAGTACAATATAAATTGGAGGGCAGCTGAAAAAGTGCTAGAAAGAAGGAAAGACACGACAACCAGAATATAAAAAAGCAGCATTGAGTGAGAGTAGTCAAAAGCCTTTCCTCCAGCCTCAGCTGAACCTCAGTTAAGAATTTTCATAAAGAAGAAAATTACCATAGTGAAGGAAATAGGACTCAACAGGATTAGCAAAAAGAAAAAGAAAGTTTTGCATGCTATGAAAAAAGCTGGAGTGGAGAAGAGAACATGAAATGCACAACTATCAAGTTTTAAGACACATGTGTGAAGCAGGATGATTAAATAAGGTGTCTTTCAGTTGAAGGCATCTTAATCAGCCACCTTCTGACTCAGCAACTGGTAGCCTAGCATAACCAACCCAGGTTGATGTCTGGGCTTTGTTTGAAAGCATCAATTCCTTTAACATCTAATTCCAAGGTTAATTGCCTTTTCCATTAAAAGGTCACTTTTTACCATTTGCTTGACATGTTTCAGTGTGGTCCTATTTATGCATAAAAACAGATCTCCTTTTCTGTATTGGATTTATACCAAACTATTTATTGTAACCTCTTCAAGCCCCAAGGTAACAGGATCCAAAATTGTGTAGTTTAATAGATCACACTGGTATTTTGTATCATTTTTAAAGAAAATATATTTTAGAAGTTTAATGCTGTGGAGAAGTGAAAAGAATTATTTTGGGGGGAATAAAAACCACAAAGGTCAGAAGGAATTAATTATTACAAAATAACTTTCATAAAGAGAATTTAGGGGGGAGATGAAAACCAATGACACCAGAAAATCTGGCACTAGCAGTAAGACCTGCTTCCAATCTTTTCAGGACAGAAAAGGAAAGAAAATCCCATAAACCACACTATGGCTTGCTACTGAGAAGGATGGAAGAATTACATGTAAGTGCCAAAGCTTTTTAAAATAAACACATGGATTCATAAAAGCTACTCAGTAACACACTCGTATGTTTGTTGTGTGACCAGCAGATGGCATGTGTTACAAAAAAAACATGACTGTGACAACACTGCCCATTCAGCAAAAAAAAAAAAAGCAAAAAAGGAAAAAAATTGTTGTGATTTTGATTGGAAATACTTACATCTTAATTTGTCCAGTATTTTGCCACCACACATTGTTGCTAACATTGCTTTCACTGAAAACACCGTCAGCTTTCCATGGCCCTCACTGTGGAAAAAAGTACGTGGTAAGTAATTGCTGTAGAGTGAGAAGGAACACAAACACTGAAGTTGTAGGTAGGGAATACATAACTGTTAACAACTAAGATTGAGCACAACTACTTAATATAACATTATACCAGTGCTAATATCTTGAATATACCACATAGAACAGGAATAACGTGAGCAGTCTTTTATTACAGTTTAATCTGATGGTATGTATGGGGAATTGTTGTCTAACATCAGCAAGGGAAAATGAATTTGCCTATGTGGAAAGCAAGAGAAAACCCACTGAGCACACTATAGTATGCAGATACAGCAAGGTATGTTATCCCTGTTACCAGAAGGGGATGAAATTAGGTGGAAGCAAGTCACCAGCCCAAGACAGGCTGAGTGAAACACACTGCAGTTAATGCTGGCAACAGATTCCTGGTCAGAGGCACACACTCTGCCTCCCTGCTTCCCAATTTCTGGATGAGCTTCCATAGCAACAAAGACAGAAGGCAGAGAATCTTCACTGTGCCATACTGGACAACCACATGTACACTTAGAGGACCAGTACTTGGAAAATGTTAGGAAGGAGTAAAACCACGGAAAGTAATTCTGCCTCGTGGCACCAAAATAGTGACAAAATTTTTTATTTTAAGCTGTATAAAGGCTATTAAGTTAACAAAACAGTAAAGATAGCAGTTATCCTACTTCATTTCTGTCTTTTAGTTTCCTCAAAGGAAAAAGTTGGCACTCCCACTATGCCAAACCACCAAACCACAGAAATAACAACACCCAAAACCCAAAAAGAAAGACTTTACTACATCTGAAATCTGAAAAGATTCTCTTCTAACCTTGCTCTGCTCGTCTCAGCAAATCTCAATAACCATTTCAAGCTTCTTTAAAGCAGAGTCTCAACCTCTCTTTCCATTTGCTCTGTTACAGCCATTCTTCTCTCAGCTCTGAATTATTTTTTAATTAATTAAAAGAAAGAACAAGTGACTGGAACCATCCATGTCCCCTCACATGATACAATCTTATCCTTGAAAGGTATCTCATGGTGCCTTCAGATACAGAATGCCAGCAGAAGCAGACCTGTTTATTAATCAAGAAAATAAAATAAAAAAATCCTCCCCCTGCAATCTGGTGTAATTAAGCAAATTGCCAATGTCTACGTCGATTTTTGGACCCATGTGACTCCATCTGCTGAATTCCCTACCGAAAGGAAAAAGGGCAGAACTTTCTGTACAATTTTGAAACTCCTGTAATGCTCACGAGTTCAAAGGATAAGAAGTAAGACTGTGGGACTTGTTTAAAACAGATGGTGCCTGTGAACAGAGAAGGACCTGGATGTGCTGATGGCCAATAAGGTGATCATGAGCCAGCAGCGCGCCCTTGTGGCCACAAAGGCCAGCGGTGTCCTGGTTGACCAACGGTAGGCCAACAGTTGACCAAAGGTTGACTATGAGCCAGAAGCATGCCCCTAATGGCCAAGGAGGCCAATGGGACTCTGGGGTGCATTGCACAGAGTGTGACCAGCAGGGTAAAGGTGGTGCCACTCCCTTCTGCCCTGGAAAGGCCACATCTGGAGCACTGAGCCCAATGCTGGGCTCCCCAGTTCATGGGGGACAGGGAGCTGCTGTAGAGCCCAGCAGAGGGCTGCAGAGATCATGGGGGCCTGGAGCATCTCCTGATGGGGAGAGGATAAGAGCCCTGGGGCTGAACAGCCTGGGGAAGAGAAGGGGAGAGGGGATCTGATCATCAGTATCTGAAGGGTGGGGGGAAGGAGGATGGGGCTCTTTTAGGTGGTGCCCAGCAAAAGGACAAGGGGCAAAAGGCACAAACTGGAACCCAGGGAATTCCATCTGAATGTGAGAAAGAACTTGTTTACTGTGAGGGTGACAAAACACTGGCACAGGCTGCCCTGAGATGTAATCAGGTCACCTCTGGAAATACTCAAAATCCATCTGGACACTTTCTGGTGCAACCTAAAATAGGGAACCTGCTTTAGCAGCAAGTTGGACTGGGGGGATCTCCAGAGGTTCCTTCCATCCCCTACAGTTCTGGGATTCTGGAGGGGAAGAAGTCTGAGGAGCAGCTGAGGTCCCTGGGTTTGCTCAGCACAGAGCAGAGGAGCTGAGGAGAGGCCTCATGGTGGCCTACAAGGAGATGTAGTGCTGAGCTCTGACCTCTGGTGACAGTGACAGGGACCAAGGGAAGAGCATGGAGTTGTGTCAGGCGAGGGTTAGGTGGGAGTTAGGTAAAGACTCTGCCTCAGAGGGCAGTGGGCATGGAACAGGCTGCTCAGGGCAGCGGGCACAGCCTTGAACTGCTAGAGCTCAAAGAGTGCTTGGACACTGCTCTCAGCCATAGGGTTTCTGTGGTCCTGTGCAGAGCCAGGAGTTGGACTCGATGATCGCTGGGGGTCCATTCAAACATCAACTATTCTATGATTTCAGACCTGCAATTCCTCCTTCTTGTTCCCCATTCAGTGTGCAATATAAGGCGGTTACTACACAGAGACACTCAGTTATAGAACCATGGAATGGCTTGGGTTGGAAGGGACCTCAAGGATCATCAAGTTCCAACTGCCCTGCACAGGCAGGGCTGCCAACCTCCACATTTAATACTAGACCAGGTCATATCAATTTCCCAAAAAAAGCTATCACAGCTTTCCTCCTAGTGCTGCTCTGTGGGTGCTTCCCAATACACTGTGAGACTCCCTTCAGCTTTGCCAACTATGGGGTCCTTCCTGATCACGCTGCTTGCCAGCTCATTTCCTCACCTGACTGTTGGTCATCCTCTCCCTCCTCCTTACTGCATGCTGCTGTTACAATAGGAAAATAAAAAAGAAGTTGAAGCAACTAAATCTGTTGCTAAATCAAATGCATTTCTAGAAAAGGTGAAATCAGAAAGAATGGACCAATCATGGGTCAGGGATTTCAGAAAGCTGTAAAAGGCAACTGAGAAAAACAGGCTCTGGAACGAGCCACCACCACTGTCAAACACCCACAGGCAGAGTTTCATGGGAGAAAGCAGCAAAGAATATCATAACACAGCTACTCCTCCTCCCAACTCACTACTGTACACCGTATGAACCACCAGTTCTGCACCATGACCAGTGCCAATCTACAAGTCTCAGGGATGAGGTGGTTGTAAGCCTAGCTCTCCTCTCATTCTTGGCTCTCTTGTGGCACAACACAGTGCAGCATCACAGCTTCTCTCTCAACACCATGTGACAGATAGAGGAAGCTCAACAGAAGCTGTTGTGTTGTGCTGAGAGCAAGCAGGCTGCTTGTGCTGCAGACAAGAGGCAGAATTTGCAGGTTTGGGGCAAAGGGAGACAAACATATCTCTAACTAAAGCCTCAATCTTTTCAATTAGTCCCTCAAAACATAACCACTTTTATTTTAAATTCTACATTTTCTAGTGTGACCTGACACACAATAAGGAAACTCATCTGTTACCCTTTACAACAACTCTCACAATCAATATCATATCACACTAAACAGAAAAATATAAAGGTTTGATTCTGATGTCATAGCAGTATTGCTACTCTGAGCTCTGCACTGTTTTTTAACTGCCCTGAGTGAGACTGGGATTGTTCTGGACCTTTGGGGAGGAAAATTCTAGCTGCTCTTTGGTGACCATAAGAGGTCCAATTAAGAATGATTAAAACTTGGACATTACAAGCACAATAACTATTTGGCATAGTAGTCCAGGTTGCTTTAGGTAAAACTCCTTCATCTCTGTGTCAACATCCTGGCCACAAGCAGTTTTCTGCTGCTCAGAGAGAAGGTAAAAGCAGAAGAAAGACAAAACAGATAATAGCTGACTGTGAGAAAGATAAGAAAAAAGAACTGATAAACAACAGAGAAAGATTTCCATTTACTACTCAGAGAACCTAGAGGTAACTTTACTTGAGATTAGCAGATTAACCCCTGATGAAAGAGGTTGTGAGGGAAACTTATTAAAGCTGGACATAAGGGAATGCCTGGCAGTGCTCTGAATAGGAAAACAAACTTCTCCCAGTCAACAAATGAGAATTAGACTCTATGTGATCACAGCGTGTTATAATAAGATCCGAGCTGAACATCGAAACAAGGCAGCCTTGTAAAATGGTCTTGTTGATCAAGAGTCAACAAAAAAACCTTTCACTTTTTAAAACATTGCTACAGCACCACGAGTCTAACATTATGTCCTATCACAGCCTGCAGAACACTTCAGCTCAGACATGCAGCTCACAGCAGGCTGCAATTTCCAGAAGGCACTCGCTCACCTTTCTCAAGAAAGCAATTTTTAACAAAAAGCTCTGCTGCTGTGGCAGTGTAGATCTGTAAATTTCTGCATGCACTACTATGATATTAAGTGTGTGTGCAGCACACAGTTCCACGAAATTGAGAAATAGCATGCCAGAGACTCATGCAGTTGCTGGCAGCATTCATCTAACTAAAAGAGAAAACTGGTTTAGGAGTACAACTAGAGGAGTTACTAGCCTGTCATATGCTGCTATCATGAAGTTGAGGAGAAGGCTGATGGATTGCTCTACACTGATTTGGTGAGTAGAAGGAAGGCGTTTGTTGAGCTGGTAGTAGATGGATGAAATGATTGTTTCTAGTCGAGACACGTTGATCTCTGTGTTATGATCCAAAGTGTTAAGGCCATTATCTCGGAAGGCTTCAATCATGTTCCAGATATCAACGAGATGAACTAAAAATAAAGGGAAAAAAATTAACTTCTATTCTGTAATGCACTCAATCTTACTTTTAAGGCACTACATCCGAATACGACATTAGCTTTTATTTTGGAATTAACCACCACTTACTCATCTTCAAAGTGAAAGACAGAGTCTCAATACTCATACTCAGCTCACACCAGCTACTGGAAAGCAACATCAATGCCCTGAGTCTCCGTGGGCCTTTTATTCTGCCCTTCAATAGAGGGCTTTGATGCAAAGCCACATAAAGGAGAAATTGCTCCTCCACTATCACACAGTGCTGTAGCCAGATTAGGTATTTTCTTCTGAGAAAGACATCGGCCACATTCAACATCCACTACAGTAACCAGTTTGTAATGTTGAACATCCCTGTATTAACTAAAAGCTCAGTGCTGGAGAAGGAACTTGATGTTCCAGTTAAACTGTGACTGCTTCCAGCTGGTGCCAAGAGAAAAATACTTTGTAAACATACATCTTGAACTCCAAAGCCTGTCCCTAAATTATTCCACTGTATCTGTTCAGGTATCTAACTGTTAACAACGTAGTGAAAGTGTGCCATAACCACACTAAGTGATCTGTAGAACCGCATTAAACAATGTTTGAAAATGTTTCAGTGTTTGAAAAGCATGCAGGGCAGTGGGTAAGACATCTAAGGACCAGCGGGAATCCATTGGTCCAAACCACCATTTCACACCAAACATACACCCCTGGATGTCTGCCTGGTGCAAACATCACAAGAGCACTTAAATTTGCATATATGCAAATGAAAGGTTACTCAAGGCATATGTATGGCACCAGTGAGTTAGGCCCTAAGTGTGTGTGGCACAATAATTAGCAGATCTTAATACCTTGCTACTGATTAAGAGATGTTTTTAATTCAAAAGCACGGTTGGTATTTTTTGTTTAGGGAAAGCACACCACTTTTCCTAAGGGATAAAGAAGGTGTGGAGCTGTAGTTTGCATCTGCACACATCTGCAGGACTCCTCAGCTGCTCTGCTGCTCTCTCCCACATCAGTTTCACATCACTGGGAGGAGGCAGCTGCTCCATTAGTCTGCCAAGCATTTTGCTTGGTCCAGTTTAATAATGGAAACAGAACCCCTGGGTTCATCCTTACTTTGGTGAACTATTTAAAATGGAAGGCTATGGAAGAGAATGAGAAAACATACAGTGAGTAGTGTGGCATAAACTTCAAGCACTCTCTGTGGTTGCTATATATGCCACAATGGTGAAATGCAGACACCTTTGCATTGGTGATCATCGCCAAGCTTACAGCTGCATCCAGCTGTCTGTTGGCTTCTGTTCCACCATGGTAGAAAGCAGACAAAACAGTCTGGGGCTGACTGCACTGAGGTATGTCAGTCTGGCCCAGGTACTTCAGATTTTCCTTTAAGCATTAGAAACTAAAACTGAAGACACTACAAATACTGGTCAAAAATCACTGCCTCTTTAATTATCTCTATTTTTAAGTAACAGCTCCCATTGTTGATTATTCCTGCTATATTTAAAATTCACATGGGTAGAATACTTGCATGATTGAAATTGACAAAGAGTGATTACAACTTACGGTTACATCGCTTCTGCACAAACCGCAGCTTGCAGGCTGTTCGATACGTTGAAAGTCTGATGACATCAAAGTTCTGGGCCCCTATGAATAAAAAAGAAGTTTGTGTTTTTTTCTTGCCTCTACGACACTCAGCTTATTTGTTTACTTTAAAAGTGATGTTGACTGTTTCTTCACACGCATCATCCCTGTGATGGGACAATGACCAAGATTTTCACGCAGTATTTCATTACAAACTGATGGAAGCATCAGACTGACATGAGAACTCTGAAGTCCCAAAAATGGAAACAAGAATTGGATTGAGTTGTAAGTGTGTACAAAGAGGAGCTCACTGCTGCTGGGTGGTGGGTACACAAAAGACAGAAGAAAAGGGAGGTGATGCTCCTACCACTGTCTGCATTGCAGGCCCCCCCAAGGAGCACACTTTCCTTCACCCAAGCAGATCCACATCAGGTAAGAAGCAGGAGAAAAAGCACAGAGGAGAGAACCCCAACCTCACCAGCAACCTCCCACTTCAAGATGTTTAAAACTTTTACTGTACCTTCAACCAATCCCACATCATGTAAACGCTGTTATCTGTCACCCGTCTGCACCACATCCACCAGCTCCTGCCAGCACTGCAATTACTCTGAACATTACAAACCTGGGCAATCCCTGAAACTTGTATTAATCCTCTGCCAAAGGCCAAACAGATCTGGGCATCTCCTGGGCTGATCAGATGAGATGATAAATGATGTGGAGATGATAAATGACACCACTCTTAAGTCTGATATCGATCATTTCAGATCTGGAAGAAGCCAACAACTGGTCCAGGCCTTGAAAATTTCATTAATCATAAACAGAAATGTCTTTACTGGCTCACATTTCAACAGCACGTGTGGCTACGCCCTATAATCAGTGGAGTTCTAAGGAGGAGTGTGAACAATCTGGCTGCACAGCAGTGGGTGCACGTGGATCCTGCACCTCCCATGTTCTCATAGGAGTGCACAAAAGTAATATCTGTACAATCTTTCAGACTTCTGAAATATCACTGCCTCCATGAAGACCGGACTGAGGAGCAGGGAAAACTGACTCATAGAATGCAGACCTCTAAAAAACACACACACCAAAAAGAAAACCAACCCCAAAAGCAACAAACCCACATCCTCCTGAAGAAGGCATGTGGCTGCTGTATCAGGGTCATGCTCAAAGGTGATAACTTTTTTTCCTTCCTACAGCATTCTGAATTCAGAAATCAATCTGCAAACATTTGAGTCCACGCTCACCAACTCACAACTGCATATTTCAAAAACCACCTTACTTGATCAGTACAGGAGATGGGCAGATCAGTTTGGTCCTTTTGTCTTTTGGGTACTTTGTAAGAAATTTGCAAATATAACACCAAGTCACCTGCTTAGACTCACACAGACCTGTAGGCTATCTTGAAACCAGAGAACATGAGGTGAGAAGCATCTCCTAAGAGCAGTGAGAGCACTGATCTCTTCTCCAATGCGAAGCTCCCCAAAGCTCACCCAGGAGTGGCACCAGATGAACCAACCTGGGGAGCATTCTGCTGGGCAGCATAGCAAAGCAAACATTCCTATGTTATTTCTCAGTACCATCTTTAGAAAGCTTATCTCAGATTAAGTATCTGACTTAGTGGTTGGCAACCCTACCTGTGGCAGGAGGTTGGAACTAGATGATCCTTGAAGTCCCTTCCAATCCAAGCCCTTTTATTTATGATCCGGCCAAATAATGTAAGCTGAAGTATTCAGATTAAAGGCTAGATTAAAATAACTCATTTTGTGCTTTTTATGCAATATTCTTTCAAAACTCTCCATTAGAGTGCCTAGGTCTACCTTCCAACACATGAAAAACACTTGAACAGATGATGAGTCTTCTCAAACTTTATCAATCAGAACCTTTTGTAAGGCTAGCCAAGGACGAGCCACTACACCTCATTTTTAGACCTCTTTAGCAGGGTCTGTTGTGATAGGACAATGGTTCCCAACTAAAAGAGGAGATATTTTGCATTGATATAGGGAAAAAGTTTTTCTTACGTTAAGTGTGGTGAAGCACTGTAACAGATTGCCCAAAGAGGTGGTGGATGCCCCTGCAGAAACCCAAGGTCAGGCTGGACCTTGGGTGGATAGTGATAGGACAAGGGGGAATGGTTTTAAACTGAGACAGGGGAGGTTTAGGTTAGATCTTAGGAGGAAGTTTTTCACACAGGGGGTGGAGAGGCACTGGAACAGGTTGCCCAAGGAGGTTGTGGATGCCCCATCCCTGCAGGCATTTAAGGCCAGGCTGGATGTGGCTCTGGGCAGCCTGGTCTGCTGGTTGGCGACCCTGCACTTAGAAGGGAGTTGGAACCAGATGATCATTGTGGTCCTTTTCAATCCAGGTCATTCTATGATGGGGCTCCTAGCACCAATCGAGCCATAAGTGTCTCTGTTCACTGCAGGAGAGTTGGAACAAATGGCCTTTAAAAGGTCCCTTCCAACTCAAACAATTCTATATCACAGCAATATATGCAGTAAAGCATATATGCTTGATCAGCTTCCACCTTCACTTCCAGCCCTGACAGCTTTGCTTGCAGCTAGGACTAGAGCACACAAACACACTTTAAGGCTTATCACCACCTCAAGATACATGCATACAAAAACAGGTCAGTTAACAGCTACATGCAAAACCAAAGAAAAAAGTCCATTTTATGTTCCTCTCTTCCTGTGTCAGACCACAACATAAGCTTCAATGAGGTCACTCTTCCACAGCATGGGTGTCCAACCTTTTGGCTTGCCTGGGCAGCATGGAGTGAGGAGGAGTCATCTTCATCCACATATAAAATGCATAACATAGTTCATGTGCATAAGTAACAAAGAACAAAGTAACAAAACTTTTCTTGTTCATCTGAGTTCTGTCCAACTGTAAGACGGAGAGCCCACAGCTTCCTTGGGCAGCCTCCTCCAGTGCTCAACAACACCCACAATAAAAATGCTTTTTCTCACCTTCAGCTGGAATTTGGCATGTTTTAGTTTGTGTCCACTGCTCTGTGTCTGTCACTGGACTGAGGAAAGCCTGACTCCATCCTCTTGAAACTCTGACAATAAGAAACTTCAAATTGCCCAGGGAGGTGGTGGGGTAACCGTCCCTGGAGGTGTTCCACAACCATGGGGATGTGGCACTGAGGGATGTGGGCATGGTGGGGTGGGCTGGGGTTGGACTGGGTGATCTTAGGGGTCTTCTCCAACCTGAATGATTCTATGACTTTATATATTCTGCAGGTCAGAAAATTAGAATAGCTTACACAGATTTCTTGCCAGCTTCACAAACAATACAAAATCTACAAACACACCCTTGGGTGGTGTGTTCAGTGTGGATGAATGTCATAAAATCTACTTCTGCCTCATAAGAGGAATCCTCTAAATACCAATGAACATCTGTGTGTGAAGATCTCCTAGAAAGAAGAACATCTCTGCATTCATCTTCACAAGGAAACATGCTGTCTTTCTCAAGACAGATGAACACCTTCAATCTGCCAACCAACATGTCTGAGTGCCTTAGAGAGAAAAGCAGCTCAAAGAATCCACACACCAGCACTTCCACTGATAAAAACCACTGCTGCAAAACCCAACTGAACACCTTCTATAAGCAGATGATGGAAGAATTATCTATTCTGTTAGATAATTCGAGGAATTTCAATTTTTTTTTTTTTTTGCAATTTAGCCAAAACTAAAAACAAGCAAGTAGATTCCTCCTCCCCTTGCCTTAGGTGGCAGATTCAAACACTGCCAGCAGAACTCTTTGAAGACAACACTGTAATCAAACATGGGTGCTTCAGAAGAAATCTTTTGCTAAAGTAGCTTTAAAGGTATCACCAATATGCAAGGTAATTAGAACATCAAAGCAGGAATTAGATGACTCTGAGAATCTTCATCAAATTAATACTGAAGAGAGACTGTATGGCTGCATACAGTTACTGATGAGATGCCAGTTACCTGTAGAAACCTAGCTGTACCAAATGATCACCAGATGACTACTGGAGATACAAGACACGTGTAACACTCTGATGTATCAGACAAAGCTCTTCTAATGGAGAAGCACTACTGTCATTCCACAAGATCCCAATGAGATTCTATTTGGGATTTCATGCACCAGTGCAACCACCTTTGCTTAAGCAGAGAAGAGGCACAGAAAGAGATGAGGTGTGTAGGCTGGAGAGTGCAGGTGTTGGCTTGTGCCACGTGTTGAGCACACAGAAAGGGATCTCACTACAACCTCAAACATAAACCAAGCTGGGAAGGCAGGGAGGAATACAACCCAGACAGCTCTCACATGAAAGGAAGCAGTTATAAATTGTCCAGGAATGAAACTGTTCTTGAAATTACAAGATGCTTATAACCACACCCAGAATGATGCTCTGGAAATCCTCCAGCAAAACAGTAGCACTGGTATGTTATCTGTTTAAGAAAGACATTCACCAACCTAAATTCTGGATTATAGGATGTGCTGGCCTAACCCAAGGAGTTTCATTCAGTCCTGTGTTTTAGTAGGAAAGTAAAGTAACATGAAGACATGCAAACACACACACACACACACACAATCTTTTATTTCTAACTGCTCACATCTTTTTAAAAGGCTGTGTGTCATTCTTTAAATGAGATTACCTCCAGACAGGCACTTGATTTATACTAACAATTACAGCCTTTCTTTGGGCATCACAGTGCACCTTAAGGTGAAATACACCCTTTCTGACTTTATTTATTTTAGTAGCTGTCTACAAACTTCAGAAGTCCCAATAAACATGAATGCTCCTTATAAAAGGAGCTTGGCAAAGTGTAGCACTGCACGACTCCTCAGGCACTGTTACCCATCTCCTGCACTCTCCTCCTGACCAGCACCCAGGATGCTTTTCACCAGCTCAGACAACAGCCTTGAGGAAACCAGATGTAAATGATTGAGTGAAATCCTAAAAACAAAGCTCTGTAAAAAGAATAAATTATGTTACCTTCCAATCTCTTACTTACTCATTTCCATGAACAGCTGTCTCTTCTCCGCCATTGTCCTCCTCCTCTTCCCACTCTCCTCAATCATTCTGAAGACAAAAATGGCAATGAGTGTTTGTGCCAGAATTCCTGTTACAAGAGCAACTTACTGTGAACAATATCATTATATTCCTCAACCAAAATAATTTGGTTAGATTTGGAAAATGAAAAGAAGAGCCAAGAGTTGGACTCAATGAACCTTATGGGTCCCTTCCAATTTGGGATATTTTGTGATTAAGAGTAGAGATAAACAGGTATTTCCCCACATCTACAGCATTCCATAGTAGAGAGAGCAGTGTAATACCTCTTCAAGTCGTGCCTATTATAGAAAACAGTAATTCTGACATTTTAGTTTTTAACCTAATGTCTGTAAAACTCAGAGATCCTTACAGGCACGATGTTGGGGTGCAGAAGGGGTTTGTCTTTAAACAAAAGGTGTAAGAATATCACTCAACTTTGAAACAAGCTGCCCTTTTTGTCTTAGGGAAACAATGAAAAAAGTGGCATAGAAACAGTGGGACTCATGCTCTGAGCTAAGGAGCCACAGAGGAATGTAGTACTTCCTACAGCTTACTTCATAAGGGAGTCTCAAAAGACAACTACTGAATCTCCATCGACTGCAGCACAACAATAAGCAACTAAACTCAATATCAGTGTAAAATTTCAGTTCAAATTGCTCCATTATATTATTCTGTTGTAATTCACCAACTAATTAAACATGTTTTTTAAATGACTTCAACAATGAAACCAACCAACAAACAACAAAACAACAAGAGAATGCCTAACAATCATTCTACAATCTCATCAGAAACCAACTCCAAGGGAGCTGGCCAGCTCATCCTCATGCAGCACAATGGCAAGACAGATTTCATTAGGCTTAAATGTCACCCAAGAAAAAGAAGCTGTGTCTTGGCACTTAACATGTCCTCTGATTAACAGCATCCCTCAGCAGTCCTCCACTCTCTGTTAATTATTCTCTGATAAAGAACCCAACATGCATTCATCCTGGAAGCCACCAAGACCTTTAAACTGAGCAGTTCATAAAATGAAAATAACTGCATGGTTGTATCTGGAAATACACTTTGTTTCCTACTTCAGACAATCACAGACTTGGAACCAACGTCCTTCTTGCTATCCTCAAATGCTGCCCCAAGCTTAGGAGCTATTTTTCAGGGCTAACATTCCCTTTATGTCCATAGGCATGTCATCTTGAAGAATGCCAGTTGCTGTACCAGCCAGCAGCTTTATTTCAAATGCCAGCACCTCTCTAAATTCCACAACAGATGGACCCCATGGGTTGGGTTAATTACTCAGTCTTCTAAATAGCTTTAATAGACACCATCTTATCAAGACACAAGGCACGATACCACTGCATTTGCTGCAGTGTTGAAACCCACCAGGATGACATTACAACTGCTGGCCTTGGGCTTTGGGTACATAGCCCTCCTCCCATCTCCCAAAAACCTGCTCCCATCTGCAGTTTCCTGCAGCACTGGGACCAGTCCTGCTGAACCTTTCTCATGTCACAGCTGCACAGAGTCATAGAATGGCTTGGGTTGGAAGGGACCTCAAGGATCATGAAGCTCCAACCACTCTGCTGCAGGCAGGGCCACCAACCTCCACATTTAACACCAGATCAGGCTGCCCAGGGCCCCATCCAACCTGGCTTTGAACCTCCAGGGATGGGACAGCCTCTCTGGGCAGCTGTTCCAGCATCTCACTACTCTCTCAGTAAAGAACTTCCCCCTGACATCCAACCTAAAGCTGCAATGCAGAACATTTAAAGTCATGATATCACCCTGACATCAGCCTCTTCCCCTATAGAGGCTTCATCATTTTGCTTGTACCAGGATTTGAGATTTTTAGAGGCTGTTCACCTACCACTGCTGTGGAACACTATCACAGAATTCACAGCCAGAAGGCTGCAGGCTGACCAAGATACAGGCTTCTAAGGGGATCTACCACTACTCTTCATACTCCCTGCAAGCAACGAGTGATCCATCTGCTCAGTGACACTCTTGAACTGAGATGTGAGTATGCAAACTCTCCATGCTATAAGAGCAGAGACACGTGAATGCAGCCTGATCAATCAAAACTCAGGACCTTGTGCCATGGAAGGTTCAGGTTGGTTATTAGGAAACATTTCTTCTCTGAAAGAGTAGCAATGCAGTGGCACAGCTGCCCAGGGAGGTGGTGGGGTCACCAAACCTGGAGGTGATCCAGAACCATGGGGATGTGGCACTGAGGGCAGTGGGTATGGTGGGGTGGGTTGGATCTTAGAGGTCTTTTCCAACCTGAATGATTTTCTATAATGAATAATCTGTCTTTCTCAAAGGAACAAAACACTTGAAACGTTCAGCAGGTGAAGAACTCAGCAATCACAGAACCAAACAAGTTGGAAAAGACCTCCAAGATCATCAAGTCCAATGGTCAACCCATGCCCACCATGTTCACTTTAAAAAAGTCCCTCAGTGCTACATCTCCTGCACTTGCTCACCAAAAAAAAAAACAACTAAAAACCAACAACCCCTGTTTGTAAAGCTGGAACAAAGAAGTACAGAAGGACCTGTGAGCCTCAGCAGAACCACAAACAGCTGGGTCCCTAGAAGGGACTTACAGCAAAGCCTCACTTGCCAGCAGAGGAAAGATACTTCAACCTCTTGAAAACCAGTGACTGAGAGACACGCAATGCTTCTTGCTATTTGCATAAAGCTAGAAGCCAGAGCCCTGCAAATGTTACAGATCACATATAAAGAACATTTTTAAGTTATCCTGAAAAGCTGAATTTCACTTTAAAAGCCTGGGTTAAAATTGAAGCACTGAGTCCTGTCTTCGATACGGCTCCTCTGTATGACTAGGAAACCTGCTAAGGACCACCAGGAGCTGATCTCTAACCCCTTTGCTGTATTTCATTTCTGCCCAGAATGTAACTCACTCTTACAGTCAAGAGATTGTTTGGTTTTTTTTTTACCTCTGCTCTATACTGATGTGTGCTTTGCAGTGAGACAACGTATTTAGTCTGGTTTTGTGTTGCTTTCCCTTTCCCTGCCCCAATGCTTTCCCAATTAAAGACCTGTATCCTATGGTATAAAACAAACCTGTTTCATTTTTATCTCTTGCTACTAAAAAGACACAGAAGTCCTGGCCACAGTAAATACTGAAAACACAAATGAAACAAAAAGGAAATTGGAGGTCTGCAAATTGCTTCAGGTGCTAAGTGAGACCAGCAAGTTTTTAACACTTACGGTATGGGTGAACAAAGAACAACACTAGCCTTAATTTCATGAGTTTAAATAACACTCAATTCAACCAAAGGCTGAAATATCAGTGTTTGCAGAAACGTGCTTGGACACAAACCACCTACGCTGCCATTAGCCTCTTAAACATCATGGAAAACTTAAAAGGTGATAAAGATCTGAACTTTCACACCCAGATGCGCTGCAAGACGAGCATCCGCTTTAGCTGTTCTTGCAAAGCGTTCCTTTTTCCCTTAAAGCAGAAAAGCAGTATGACTGCATAACCCACTCTGCTCATAGTGATGATGCTGGGACAGCAAATCCTGGGTGGCTTCCATTGGCACTTCCTCCTCAACAAGCTGCTCTTTTACCTGTAGCAACCTGAAGGGGACACTGGCAGTATGATAACTCCTGCTTCACTCAGCAAAAAGGACTATGAGGAGGTTGGACTAGATGGCCTCCAGAGGTCCCTTTCAGCCCTAAGGATTCTATGAGGTTCAACCCAATGCATTTTGCCTTAAAGGCTTTTCCAATTAAATGCAGCTGAATCTGCAGCCAATCCTTCTGGCTGGACAGCTCCCAGAGTTTCAAGGATTCTGCTCTGCATGGAAAGCTGCAAGCTCAAGTATGTTCTACACGTTTTGATCTTCATATTTGTTCTTGCCATGCAGGTGCTCTATTCAAGTCCAGCTCAATGAACTAGAGAATATTCTCCCTGCATCAGCAGAGCAGCGCTGACTTAATGTAAGAATAGTGCTGGTTCAACACAGTACAGCCCTGTTTTACGTCAAGATGCAGTAACTTTGTTCAAGGAGGCAGATATGAAATGAGTAAGATGAATACATTGCTGTCAAAGAGTTCACCTTCCACCTAGCAGAGAAGCTAGCAGAAGTACTGATGCTGACTGCTCTGCACATCTTGAAGTCAAGCATGCTCAGGCATGCTAAGAGATATGATAGTGACAATTATTTTTACTTTATATATATATATATAGTATATATATAGCTATATTTTATACTATGATGGAAGGAGCAGCCCCACGTCCTATGGGATATTTCAGCTCTTCACATTTCTGCCTTTTTCCTTACCTTTGAAAATTCTCTCCCATGCCCACAATACATACAAGCATTATTCAAGCCTGGCTGGATAAAAAACTGATGACATAATAAAAGGTAAAGCCTGAATGCTGTCCTCCCCCAGATGTGTTGCAACGGGCTCAGCCACTGATGGCACCACAGTGCTTCTTGATCACTCACAGCTCAAGCACAGAAGGAGCTCATCAGGCCAATACTACAGGACCTATTTTACAAGGTTTCGCTCTTCTTGGAGCTCATCAGCTGTAGGTAACGGCCCAGACAGATGGCATTGCCTTTTCTATGGATGCCCCATCCCTGGAGGCATTCAAGGCCAGGCTGGATGTGGCTCTGGGCAGCCTGGGCTGGTGGTTGGCAACTCTGCACATAGCAGGGGGTTGGAACTGGATGATTATTGCGGTCCTTTTCAACACAGGCCATTCTATGATTCTATCAGTGGGAGGAGCCCGACCATGGAGCCAACTCCAGCTAATGCCACAGCCCTTGCTCCTGACCCAACCACAGCCACCATCCCAAATCACACCATCTGTTCTTCCCCAAGCATCACCACGGGCATCTCCTGACATGTTATAAATCATAGCCTGAAATGCTGTCATCCTGGTTCCGTATCTGCAACTTCAGCTGTTGCCTCACTGCTTTCTAATTACTTTAATTTAGGGACTAAATAAATCAGTTTCTGAGCTACTGAAGGGATGAGTTGCTTTCTTCCCCTTGCTTTGG